CCACCAACATCTCCATTTCTCTTAGTCATTTTCTCAACTAGTAAATAAACATTTATTATGCATGCCTGGGTGACTTATATCACTGAACATAGAAATAAAAGACTCAAGTTCTAGGGGCCTAGGGACCCCCCAGTCATGGTGATAGCAGCAGCAAAGAAATAAGATAGGGGGAAAAAAACCCTCAAATTCTAATAGAATCAATGAGGAGATGGTCAAGGGTGTGTGTGTGTGTGTGTGTGTGTGTGTGTGTGTGTGTGTGTGTGTGTTGGGGTGGGAGAGGGATTTGAAGTGAAAGATAGAGGTGAGAACAAAAGCCTCCTGCAAGAGAGAAAGTATGTGGGTAGGGCATTTTTATTGCCAATGACTGATCTGGGTTTGCCAGAGCCCTGAGCACTGCCAGGTGTGGCCCAAAACCCCAAAACAAAAATAAAGTCCTGTCAGCCCACACGTGGATTTTAGCATGGTCACGGTCACGGTCCTCCCGTTGTTCATCGATTTGCTCAAGCGGGCCCAGTAACGTCTCCATCGTGAGACTTGTTGTTACTGTGTTTGGCATACTGAGTACATCACGGAGAGCTTGCCAGGCTTTGCCATGCGGGCGAGATACTCTTGGTAGCTTGTCGGGCTCTCGGAGAGGAGCGGAGGAATCGAACTCCGGTTGGCCATGTTGGCTGTGTGCAAGGCAAACGCCCTACCTGCTGTGCTATCGCTCCAGCCCCAGATTCAGGGGTAACATGATTCAGGGGTAACATGATTCAGGGGTAACAGGATTTTAGCATATAATGCTGAAATATCCCAACACACAGAGAAACCAGGGAGGGAAAAGCAGCTGGCCTGGAAACACTATTATTTCCGTTTTCCTGTCTAATATGAGGCAGAGGCAGGGGAGCAGGAAGCTCCCGTTTACCCAAGGCTGTAGATGAAGTGGAGCACTTTGAGCAGACACAATGCAGAGGCTGAATTAGAAATTCCAGGGCAGTGCAGCCCCAAGTCTGGGTCCCCCTGAGGTTCCAGTCCACCTTCAGCCTGTGTTTCCCAAGCCCTGAGCACCCAAGCGCCCCAAAACCTGTAGGGCAGACACAGCTGCCTCAGAGAACTTACCTTCTAGGCAAGGAGACAACGCAAGCCACAAGCAGGTGTACTGCAGCAGATTAGGAAGGCACTCAAGCTCACGTGGCTGTCGGGGGCGGGGGGCTGTCTCCCCATGTTACCACTGAACCTTACTGAAGTTGCACTGTTTCATGATCTCTGTTCACTGAAACTGGGCTAACAGGACCAGGCAGTGGGTTAGGGCATTTGTCTTGCATGTGGTCAACTAGGGTTTGATCCCTGACCCTACAAAGGATCCCCAGCATCCCCCCCCCCCCCGCCCCCAGGCACAAGTCACTGATCCCTGAGCAGAGAGGCAGTCCTATGCCCTGAGAGCCATTGGGTGGGGCCTAAAACAGGTTGAAAAAAAAAAAGGAGGGAAAATAGGGCCGAAGCAATAGTACAATGGGTAGGGCATTTGCCTTGCACGCGCCAACTGGGATTTGATCCCCAGCGTCTCACACGGTCTTGGTCCCCCAGCACTGCCAGGGGAGTCCTGGCCCTCCTCTCCCAAATAATTGGAAAATCGGGCCAGAGAGAGAGCTCAATGGGCGGGACCGCATACATTACGTGGTGAGGTCCAGGCTTGATCCTCGGGACCACCAAGTCCCCAGCATGGCCAGGACTAGCCCCAAGTGCCAGGGATGTGGATCAAATACCAAAAGCTGAAATTTTCTTTAAAATAGTAAAATAATCTCGAAACCCGGCGGCTTTGGGCAGAAATGCGTCCGGACCACACAGTAGGTTACTGTTACCGGGCCACCCTAGGGGGTGTTGTCCCTCCACCTGCTCCCCCTTGGCGGCTCGGTGGCCGTCATCCTCCAGAGGCCATTAGACAGTCAGGTTTGAGCCCGCAGTGTCGAAACTTGTTGGGCCTCACAGGATGGGGGTGGAGCTAGTCCTGGTCTCCCCCATCCCAATGAGACCCCAAGTCATCGCCCACGAACGGCCTCTCTGGCTCCTGATCAAGCTGCTCAACGGCCATGATCCCAGAGACTCAAGAGCAAATCTCGAAACCCAGTGGCTTTTGGCAGAAATCCTTCCAGATTTAAGTGTTAAAATTTCAGAATTTCAAAATCACCTGGCCCTATTGCAGCCATGCGACATCATGTTATTCATAACCAGCAATAGAACACAAATTGTCTACTGTTGCCTTTTCAGCAGATCTGAGTGTTGGGGTAAAAATCTCAAATAATAATGGTGGGTCTGGTGTCGAAATATTGAACGTGATCAAAGTAGAGAGAGAGTAATGCGGAAATCATCTGCCCCACAGGTAGGGGGAGGGTGTGGGATGGGGGGGGGGGGGATACTGGGGTTTTTGGTGGTGGAGAATGGGCACTGGTGAAGGTATGGGTGTGTCATTATATGACCGAGACTTAGACCCGAAAGCTTTGTAACTGCTCTCGTGGTGATTCAATAAATAAAATTGTAAAAAATGGGGGGAAAAAGTAAGGTGGAGTTCATGCCCAATTCAATCAGCTAATCAGTGGCTGAATAAACAGCAGCACTCCTACATAAAAAAAAAATAGTAAAATAATAATAAGAAGAAGAACAATCTGTTTGGGTTTGGTCCATACCCCAAGCCCCCCCTCCCAAAAAAAATACAAATTAACTATGGGTGTGCATGCTTTGCACACACAACACGCAGGAGCCCCGGCTGAGCCTGGCACCGCTGACCGGGGTGCCCCGCCCCCTCGGAACCGGAAGCCACGCCCCGAAGGCGGCCGGGCCCGCCACCAGCGCCCCCTGGCGGCCGGAGCCCGCGCGGCCGAGGGGCGTGTTCTCGCGTGAACTGGGCGTCGCGGGCTCGCGGCCGGAAGGAAGCGGCGCGCAGGGGCGTGGCGGGGCGGCGGCGCGCGGCGGCGGCGGCGCTACGGAGAGCCCGGAGGGACAGCCCGGTACGCGCCCCCGCCCGCCGCGCGCCCCCGCGGCGCCCCGGCCCACCCCGGCCGGGGACCGCAGGCCCGGGGAGGGGGCGGGCACGGCCCGAGGAGCGTCCGGCCCGCGGCGGCGGCGGCGGCCTCCGGGGACACCCGGGCACTGCGCGGCCAGATGGCAGCGCGCGGGCCGCAGCCGCCCTGTCCACGCGCCGGGCCGGAGCGCGGCCGCGGGAGGGCCGGACGGGGAGAGGGACACGGGGGCGGGGAGACGGACACACGGACGGGAGAGGGACACGGGGACGGGGAGAGGGACACGGACGGGAGAGGGACATGGGGACAGGGAGAGGGACACGGACGGGGAGTGGGACATGCACGGGAGAGGGACACGGGGACAGGGAGAGGGACACGGGGACAGGGAGAGGGACACGGGGACAGGGAGAGGGACACGGACAGGAGAGGGACATGGGGACAGGGAGAGGGACACGGACGGGGAGTGGGACATGCACGGGAGAGGGACACGGGGACAGGGAGAGGGACACGGGAACAGGGAGAGGGACACGGGGACAGGGAGAGGGACACGGGGACAGGGAGAGGGACACGGACGGGGAGTGGGACAGGGAGAGGGACACAGACGGGGAGTGGGACATGCACGGGAGAGGGACACGGGGACGGGGAGAGGGACACGGACGGGAGAGGGACATGGGGACAGGGAGAGGGACACGGGGACAGGGAGAGGGACACGGGGACAGGGAGAGGGACACGGACGGGGAGTGGGACATGCACGGGAGAGGGACACGGGGACAGGGAGAGGGACACGGGGACAGGGAGAGGGACACGGGGACAGGGAGAGGGACACGGGGACAGGGAGAGGGACACGGACGGGGAGTGGGACAGGGAGAGGGACACGGACGGGGAGTGGGACATGCACGGGAGAGGGACACGGGGACGGGGAGAGGGACACGGACGGGAGAGGGACATGGGGACAGGGAGAGGGACACGGGGACAGGGAGAGGGACACGGGGACAGGGAGAGGGACACGGACGGGGTGTGGGACATGCACGGGAGAGGGACACGGGGACAGGGAGAGGGACACGGGGACAGGGAGAGGGACACGGGGACAGGGAGAGGGACACGGGGACAGGGAGAGGGACACGGGGACAGGGGAGGGACACGGGGACAGGGAGAGGGACACGGGGACAGGGAGAGGGACACGGACAGAGAAGGACACGGACAGGAGAGGGACACGGGGACAGGGAGAGGGACACGGACGGGGAGAGGGGCCCAAATGGGGAAAGACACTCACGGGAGAGGGACACGGACAGGGAGATGGACACGGACAGGAGAGGGACACAGGGACAGGGAGTGGGACATGGGGACGGGGAGAGGGACACGGATGGGGAGAGGGACACGGGGATTGGGAGTAGGACATGGACGGGAGATGAACATGGACAGGGACAGGGACACAGATGGGGAGAGGGACACGGGCGGGAAAGGAAGACGGGGAGAGGGACATGGGAACAGGGAGAGGGACATGGACGGGAAACGGACACAGGTGGAGAGGGGACTCTGACAGGCCGGACCCAGCGTGCCTTGTACACAGGGACACGGTTCCCAGGGACACGGGCCCAGCGGTGCCTGGGGGGACGGCCATGCCAAGCCGGACCCAACAGTTCCCGGGCCAGGCAGCCCCCTGTGCTGTTGGCTGCAGTCTCAGTGGCCCTGGCAGGAAGGAGGCAGGCTGGCCTGCTTTCCTCTGGGCAGCCCTGGCCAGGGTTCCACAGCCGCAAGGGCTCAGCCCTTCTCGTCCCCGCCTCCCCAGCGACCCCGGGTTAGTGCTCCAGGAGGTGGAGGTGGTGTTCTGAGCCACTCCCAGTTGGCATTCCCCGGGCCCATGGCTACAGCTGGAGCACTGCCTCCTGTGTCCTGGCACTGGCCACGTGAGGGGAGCCGGGCTGGGCGAACCTCTCGGCAGCCCCATTGGTACCGTTGAAGCTTTTGCCCCGCGTGTCAGACCCCACGTTTCCCCCTCTCGTCCCCCTAGCTCAAGGTTCCCGATGGCTCAGTTGGGCGCGATTGTGGCTGTGGCTGTGAGTTTCTGCTGTGCGTCTATCTTCTCATCTGTGCACAAGATCGAAGAGGGACATATTGGGGTCTATTACAGGTAAGGCGGGATGGGGGCCGCTGACCCTTCCTGTGAACATGCCTTTCTCGCTCCCTGGCTGGCAGATTCTGCTGGACTGTGTCGCATTGGTTGGAGCCCTGCAGATTGAACAAACTGAGGACATTCACGCATATCATACACAGGGACATTAGGCATGAAGTAGCGTCCTGAGTTAATGCCATCAATGGTGACTGATAGTGTGCAGCAAGATTTAGACAGGAACCCTTTAGTCAGATCATCCTCGGGACAAGGGTTTGCTCTCCATCTGCTTGGGACCCACCCCAGTCCGTGGCTAGGGGCAACCCCTTGCTCTGTGCTCCACATGGACCGTCCCACCTGGGAATCAGCACCAGGTCTCATGCATACAGGCATGGGTCCAAGCCTTGGGAGCTCTCTCCCACCCAAGGATACCCCTGATGCATGCCAGTTCTTAGTGGGAGCTTGGGAAGAGGGCCTGCTCTAATCTGGGCCCAATTCTTAAAAACGGACATTTCAGGACAAAAGAAAGAGGCTGCGGGATTTATTACAACCACCAAGCCCTGGGGTACTGGTCCTTAAAATAAACCATTAGGTCAGTTTATTGCACCTTTCTAAAACTGTACCTTTGACTCCTTAATGTAAGACAGAGAAACGCTTGTCAGTCTTGGGTTCCCTTCCTTTCAGTACGCTTAGCCAGGTTTTTGTTGTTGTTGTTTTGTTTTGTTTGGTTTTGGTTTTGGTTTTTAAGTCTATATGAATCCGGGACCAGAGCGTGATAGTACAAAGGGTAGGGCACTTGCCTTGCATGTGGCCAACCCAGGTTCCATCCCCATAATCCTGTATGGTCCCCTGAGCACTACCAGGAGTGATTCCTGAGTGCCGAACCAGGAGTAACCCCTGGGCATCACACGGTGTGATCCCAAAACAAACAAAAAAATTCTGTGTAAGCCCTTTCGTATATGCATTTGACTTCCGCTTATTTCTGGGTTGCCAATAACAAGTTCTAAAACTCTTGAGTGTCCTACTCTCTGTTAACTATTTGTCCCATTATCTACTTGTCCCCCCAAAAGGCTTTTAATTTTGTTATCATCTCCATATCACTTGATTAGAAAGGTGACTTCTACTGCCAGAAGAAATCTCTCAATGACTTGTGAGGTGTACTGAAAATAATTCCTTTGGCTGTCCCTGTCCCTGGACTCCAGCATTCGTGCAGTTAATTGATAACTGTGTTACCGATCAGACTGCCAGTAAAGGGTTGCTGCACGCTCAGGCAACTTCCTCTCTCCGTGCGGACTGGGATTCTGCTGTCATCGGGCCACTTAGCCTGTCTGCCTATTTTCCTTGCTGCCGAAGCATGACTGATGGTTTTATGTCTCCCCCCACCCCCCATGCTTTCTCGCAGTTAGGGTGCAGCTGCGAGGAAAGGGTCGGTGGACAGAGTCGTGGCACACATCACTGTGGAACATTTCTGCAGCGGGAGAGCAAGTGGGCCCAAGCAGCACTACTGTCGAAGCTCACCTAAGCCCGCCTCTCTGTCCTCTGCAGAGGACCCTGCTGTCGAAACTCACCTGAACCCCTCCTCTCTGTCCCCCGCCTGCAGAGGGCGCTGCTGTCGCAGCACGCCTTCCTAACTCCCCTCTCTCTTCCCTCTGCAGAGGCGGTGCTCTGCTGACCTCCACCAGCGGCCCCGGTTTCCACCTCATGCTCCCTTTCATCACCTCGTACAAGTCTGTGCAGGTACACCTGGCTGGCGTGTGTGGCTGGGTGTCGATATGGGGTATTGGAGGAGTCTGGTGCCCTTTTAGGTAATGATGTAAGGCAGGTTGATCTTTTAGTATCCTTACGGACAGCTCAAATAAAGAGCAGGCTCCATGCTATTTACTTGAAAGCTTCCCCAGATTGTTGAAATAGTTGAATGGGGTCTTTGCCTTGGCCCATCAGCCCCAACCGGGAGAAATTTCTTCACTTCAAGACAAGGCCAGAGAAGAATCTGTTCTGAATGTATAGGAGAAGAAAGAAGGGAGGTTTGGCTGTTCATTTTTTAAAACCACAGGCTACCATAGAAGACGGAAATAAAATAGGGTGACTTGGCTGACTCTTGGTTGAATTGCAGAGATGGGAAACCTAATTTTGGGGTGGGTGGAGGAAGGTTGGACTTGGCAAGGGAAACTGACACCTACAGAGGACTGGGGTCGGCTGGGGCAGATGCAGGGCCACTAGCTTTTTGGAAGTCTGTCTGGCTGCGAGGAGGGTTGGAGAATGACTTCTCCCGGGCTCCTTCATCCGCACATTCCCCGCCTGCACTTACTGCTCTCGATGGTGCCTCCATGCGTGTTTTCTCGGTGGAGCCTCACAGCCGTCCCGAGGAAGGGCCAGCTAGTGCTGGAGGCTGAAACGGGCTAAGTCTGTTGGCAGTTCAGGACTCGGCAGTGGCAGGGGCTCAGCGGCCTTTTCACTCAGCTTCTTCGCAGGCTGCCTCAGCGCCAGTGAAGCGTGGGTGGGCATCTCTGCCTGACGTAGCCTCGCCTTCAAGTAAAGACTCGGTGGGCTTGACAAAGGCATATGTCACCCCAAAACATGTATTCATGGGCAGGCAGGTTCATTGGGGATTTAAAAAAAGTCACGCTGCGGGTCTCTGTCCATGTGACGGACTGTCCATCTCCTTTATTTCCAGACCACGCTGCAGACGGATGAAGTGAAGAATGTGCCTTGTGGGACTAGGTAAGGTGCTCAGAATGAGGCTGCTCAGCCTCCCGAAAGAGGAAGGGCGACTGGCCAGCCACCCTCACAGAAAGGCGGTGAAAGGGAGACACCCTTGAGTGCTTTCACCAAGTTCCCTGCCCTGTGGGTCTTGAATGAGGGAGAGCAAGAGAGAGAAAAACCCCAGGAGTAAGCCGGTCTGGGAGGGCCTTGAGTGGCATGCCGAGAAGAGTCGGCTTTTCCTGTCAGAGGGAAGCCCACACAGGCTGATGACATCAAGGAGGGTGAGGACTTCAGCCTCACTGTGAGAATGTCTTCCAGAGAAGGCGGGCCGTAGGGACAGGAAGTCCACGGTCCACCAAAATAGTCGGGTTGGAAAGCCCAGGGGTCCTCACTGGGCTAGGTGAAGAAGAGGACATCACCAGACCGGAATCAGGGCCCCAGTGGGCTACCTGACCTGTGTCTGGGTCACTGAGCGTGGAGGCTGCAGGGGACCTACATTAGTGAAGACCAGCAGTCCACAGCACAGGCTGCCCTGCGCCCCCGCCCCACAGGGGCTCACTCGGCTGCTTCGGCCTTCTCCCCGTTGTTTTCCGTGACCCCACTTTTAATCAAGAAATGCAACCGTGGGAGACTTTGTGCAGTGGGTAGGCTACTTGCTTTGCCTGTGGCCCACTCAGTTCAGTCCGGCAATCCCTGCCAGGAGACCCCTGAGTGCAGAGGCAGGAGTAAGCCCTGAGCACTGGAGCAGAAACCGGAAGGGTGCAAGGACTCAGGGCTGCAGCAGCCCGATAGTGCTGCACTCTGTTCTACATCAGTCCCTGCACCTGGAGGACCTTTTACTGTAGCAACTTTGTGTCTCACAAAGCCCTGGAAACTCTTGAGTTCACAATCAGCCCTGCAGGTCCCAGCTTCCACATCCCTGGGCCTTTCCTCTGTCCGGGGAGAGAGAGCGAATTCTCTCGGGTCTTTCCCTTTTCCCCCCGCAGTCAAGTACATCTCCTATCTAAGCCTCCTTTCGTCTCACCTTTATGGGGCGCTCGCTGCTGATCCCTGGCTTCCCCTGAGGTCCCCTGAGCATCTCCAGGAGTGATGTCAGAGTGCAGAGCCAGGAGTCAGCCTTGGGTACCACCAGGTGCAGCCCCCAAACTAAAATAATAATAATAATAATGATCATGTACCCTTGACTGTTCTTCAAGGCCATTTCCAAACGCAGTTACGTTGGGGAAGTTTGGACATGGGTTTTGGAGGGCATCCAGTTCTAAAACAAGAACCGTCACTGCCACTGTCCTCCCGTTGTTCATCAATTTGCTCGAGCGGGCCCAGTAACGTCTCCATTGTGAGACTTCTTGTTACGGTTTTTGGCATATCGAATACGTCACGGGGAGCTTGCCAGGTCCTGCTGTGCGGGCGAGATACTCTGGGTAGCTTGCCAGGCTCTCCGGGAAGGGTGGAGAAATCAAACTCCGGTCGGCCACGTGCAAAGCAAACGCCGTACCCGCTGTGCTAACTGGGGAAATTTTAATTAGGTCTGGGGGTTAGATCATTAGGGAATTCTGCTAACTTTACTCAGTTTGGGAACAGTGTTGCAGCTCTGTGGAGTGGGCCGTTGCTCGTGGGGGGCCTGCTGAAGCGTCAAGGCTCAGCATGACTGCAACTCTCAGGTTTGGGGAAGGGGAAGAATAGATCTACCGATCTATAAGGCAAGACGTTAACTCTTAAAGACGGGTACTGATACATGGCTGTTGTACTATTCTTTTCTATTTTTCTGTTCGAAATTTTTTTGTTTTGTTTTGGGGCCACACCCAGCGTTGCTCAGGGGACATGTGGTACCAGGCTTGAGGGCACAGGCTTGATACCTGGTACCACGTGCAAGGCCTGTGCCCTCTCCCTTGTACATTCTCACCGGCCCAGCGTCAGTTGCTCTCCTCCAAAGGCCTTCAGATTTAAAAGGCGTGTGGCTGTTTGGTGCGCTCTGGAAGTCTCACTTTCGGCTCTTGAAGGTACTTTTTAGGAGGTGACTTCTCACAGGATCGCAGGCGAGCTGTAAGCTCCGATGATCTCTTGCTTGGAGGTCTGACGTGCCCTCCATGAACTCGTTCGTCTGCTGTTACTGAGGAGCCCGCACAACCTCAGAGCTGACCGGTGACTTCTCTGTCCGCTTCCCCCCACAGTGGTGGTGTGATGATCTACTTTGACAGAATCGAAGTGGTGAACTTCCTGGTCCCGAATGCAGGTGCGCTTCCCAGCTGCCCTCGGCCAGTCCCTCCCCGTGTCCCGGAGAGCCTCTCTCACCCGAACTCTCCCCTCCCCTCCCCAGTGTATGACATAGTGAAGAACTACACTGCCGACTACGACAAGGCCCTCATCTTCAACAAGATCCACCATGAGCTCAACCAGTTCTGCAGCGTCCATACGCTTCAGGAGGTCTATATCGAGCTCTTCGGTAAGAAGCCGCTCTGGCCACCGCGGGCCTCAGCCTAGCTCTGGACTACCTGCCGCTGGCCTGGGCGAGACTGTCCCCATGAGAATTCCTCAGCAGTGGTGCTGGGAAGATCCCTGGGGTAGGGGCCTGAGCCATATACAGCGCATGGGGTGCTCGCCTTGCATGCCCCGTTCCTGCATCCCCTCGGTCCCTGAGCACCATCAGCCAGGAGTGAACCCGGGGCACTGCTGGGTGTGGCCCCAAAACAAAAAGGTCCTCGGGGTGGCTGAGCAAAAGGCACAGAAGACACACTGCTGAGCCGGGGAGTGGGGATGGACCAGGTCAGCGCGAGAATGCTGGGGACTTTCCAGCCCAGCAGTCACGTATTTAAGGGGAGGGTCAGTGAGTCTGCGAGAGGCAGTTGTAGGGCTGGTGGGCCAACCGGCTGGAGCCTGAGCCTTGCCGTGCTCACCACGCCAGGGGACCAAGACTTGGTGCCTCCGGGTCAGCCCTGGGCTCGGCACCGGGGCCAGTCACAGTGCTTGCCCCCTCGTGTGTGGTGGTTGGTGTGTTCAACCAGTGTCTGTGGTGATGAATAGGATGACTGGAGAGACTTCAGTACAGATGCCAGGGATGGTGCTAGGCAGTCTGGGAGACAAGTGTGTGCAGGGGCATGGCACCTGGCAGGCCTGCTGCTGGCACTCAGGAACAAGGGGGAAAGTCTTCCTTTGTGGTTGTTTATTTGGGGCTACGTGACAATGTTCCGGGGTTACTCTTTTTTTTTCTTTTTTTTTTCTTTTTGGGTCATACCCAGCAATGCACAGGGGTTACTCCTGGCTCTGCACTCAGGAATTACTCCTGGCAGTGCTCAGAGGACTATATGGGATGCTGGGAATCAAACCTGGATCTGCCACGTGCAAGGCAAACGCCCTCCCCTCTGTGCTATTGCTACAGCCCCCCGGGGTTACTCTTAACAGGGCCAGGACCATCTGGGGCGCTGGAAATTGGCCCCGGGGCGGCCATGTGCAAGGCAAGAGCCCTCCCTGCTAGACTCTCTCTGGCCCGGCCTCTGAACATCTCTTGTGTCTCTTAGCCATTGGCATCTTTCTGGAAAGGTGTCTATTCTGATCTGCCCGTTTTTTAATTTAATCGTATTTTCATTGTTGAGTTCTATAAATTTTTAGAGATGTTTTGGAGATTGTCTGTCCAGTATCTCCTCTGAGAGGCTGGGGGCTTGGGCCACTGAGCCGCCCAGGCCTGCGCAGGCCCCTCCAGCTCAGCGCCAGGCTTCGAAGATCATTTGGAAGAAGTTTCTTTTGCTGTGCAGAAGCCGTGTGGTTCGATCTGCTTTGTTTGCTTCTGTTGCCTGGCCACGGGAGTTGCGTTCGGAAAGACATCTCTGAGTCTCTGAGCCAGGAGTAAAACGGAGCTCCTGCGCTTGCAAAGAGACTCCCAGGCCCTTATAGGGCTTGACCCCGCGACCCTGAGTGAGTTGTCCATGGCTGTGAGCCTTGCTGTGCCTGTCTGTCCAGCGCCACAGACCAGCAGCACGCTGCTTTTCCCCGGGAGCGTCGGGAAGGGGTCCTGCGCCGAGAACACTTTTCTTGGTGCAGACAGAAGGCGGAATCATGGAAGCTGCCAACGCTCCTCATTAAGCCTTTCACACTGTGAGGAAAACTCAGGAAGCCATCAGAGTCACTTTTAATTCTGGTGCAGTGGAAACTAAATCTAAATTTGTTTGATAGGTTTTGGATTCAGTATACTCTAAAGAAATATCTGGTAAACTTATTACTGATACTTTTCTCCTTTTTACTTAGAAAAGTAATGCGATCTTGCAAAACATGGCGTTTTCTCTCAGTCATTATTTCAGGACTTGTGCCACTAAATGAATATTTGAAGGCATTTGAAACAAAAGGCAAATTTCTCTAATTTCCATGAAAAGAAAATTGAGATAGAAATTGCTTTGCATTACAAAACTCCTTAATAGAGAGAAACCTGTTAGCTTAGCGAGTGTAGCTTGTATGGTATAGAAGAGCTGGAGAATGTATTTACTTTGAAACTACCTTTGACATTTCAGTCTTGCTAGCAAGCAGTTTTGCTTAAAAATCTATTTTTATACAAAAAAAAGGAGAAATTCATGGGCGGGAGAGACAGTACGGGAGGGTCAGTGTTGCCCTGGTTTGCTGCTGACCCCAGTTCAGTTCCTGGTACCACAGGGCCCCTAAGCCCAGAGCCAGGAGGAGTCCAGCCTCTGCTGGGCCTGGCCCCAAGGCGAAAGGAGCGAGAGGAAGGGAGGGTGCCGAGAGATGGTGTAGAGGTAACAGCGTTTGCCTTCAGTAGCAGGCTCTGGTTCACAGGGTTCCCTGCACATGTGGACCCCAAACACAGAGCCAGAATAGCCCTGGAACACCACTGGGCCTGGCCCCAGAAAGTCTCTTCCAGAAGGCAGAACTTCTGCCTCTGGTCCTGGTCCTTGGACATGAAAGGCTCCTCCCTGGCTTCCTCGGAGAATAACATGGCTCCTTAGTCCTCAGTATTGCTTGCTTTTACGCTTTGTTCGTATTATTAAGATACTGCACTTGCTCAGAAATCTACTGGAGAACTTGTTTGTGTATATTTAACAGTGTCATCCACTCAGCATTGCATTCACATATGCACAGCTTGTCACCAGAATTACTGAACCAACTTTAAAGTATTTCTCCCAGATGTCCCCAGTCAGTTAGTAACCTGGGCCACAGTTGTTTAGCTTGACTTGGATCGTGTGGTCGGGTAAACGGCGGCGACTCTCAATGCTTGATGGAAACGGGCCATCTGAGTTCAAGTTTGGCTGGAATTCTGTTTAGGAAGTATCCCATTCTTTGTTGTCGGTTTGGTTTTTGGCCCATACCTGGTGTGCTCAGACTCACTCCTGGTGGTTCTTAGGGGACCAGATAGGATGCCAATGATCCAACCCGAGTCGTCCTCGTGCATGGCAGACGCCCTCTACCCGCTGTACCTTGCGTGTGCGCAAGGCAGAGGGGGAGACCGAGGCGAGTCTGCTGAGATGTGCCGCTCCAGGATGAGATGACTGGAATCTTTCTTGGGTTTTGGGCTTTGTTTTTGTTGTTGTTGTTGTTGTTGTTGTTGTTTCATTTGGGGGCCACGTCTGGTGGTACTCAGGGCTCATATCAGTGGTGCTCATGGCTCACGTCTGGCAGTGCTCAGAGCTCACTCCCGGTGGTGCTTGAGGGCCCACGTGGTGCTAGGAATTGCACCAGGATCGCTGCATGCCAGGCAAGTGCCTAAGCCCTGCTGTGTCTCCAGGGCCCCTGCCAGGATCTTCCTGAGGTGCTGGCGGGCAGAGAGTTCTGCAGGCCTGAGCAGGAAGGCAGCAGCCTTGGCACTGCTGCTCAGGGACCACAGCTGGAAGGGGCTCAGTTTGTCCTTCACTTGTCCAGGAAGTGGCTCAGAAGTGAGATCCAGAGAACGGGATCGGGACCAAAGCAAAAAAAAAAAATCTCAAAGTCGGGCTTGTACCCAACTCTGTGAATTTTTATTTTCACCTCGTGCTATTGGATGAAGTTCTCAGTGGAAACAGCCTCATCGGGACTTTCTTTGATGTCAGAGTCAGATTTTATTTTAGACAGTTCTAAAATTATCAAATCTAATCTTTTCAAAATACCTAACATAATCATTCCACCTTCCTTCTCATGAAAACTGGGAGTCTGTGTTCTCTTTTTGCAACTATTGTCTAGGGCAGAGGATCCCAAATTCTTGGTTTTGTCTTGGGCCACAGCTGGAGGTACTCAGGACTGTGCTCTGTGCTCAGGGATCTGGCCTGGTGGGGCTTGGAACCATATGAGGGTACCAGGATTGAACCTGGGTCTGCTACGTTCAAGACAAGCCCCTTGCCTGCTGTGCTCTCTCTCACCTCGTAGGTTCTCTCACTTACGGGCTGCCCACCCCCTTCTTGGGAAAAAATAAAATCGTGTGGTGCTTCCCTGGCGATCTGCTTTCCTTAAGCTGAGCAACTGGAAGAACGCTGCCGTCCCGCCCCATGTATAAGAGGCTCTGACCCCCATACACACTTTCTGGCACCCTGCCCGCCCACAGGGACCGTGTTACCCACTTTGGGAAACCCTGATCTAGAGGAAGAACTGTGCCTACTACAGGGGCAGGCTTGAGGAGTGGTTGGGAAAATTGGAAATAATAGTTGTGGGAGGGTGCAGTGATGGTGGAGTTGGTGTTGGAATATTGAACGTAGTAGATCATTATGAACAAATTTATATAAATAGAAACATTTTTCTTTAGAAAAGGAAAAAAACTGTGCTAGAGGGGCCGGCGTAATTGCACAGTGGGAAGGGCATTTGCCTTGCACACAGCTGACCCTGATCTGACACCCCCCCCCCCCCCCCACACACACACACACCATCAGGAGCAAACCCTGAGCACCACCTGATGTGGGCCCCCCAAAAAAAGAGAACTGGGCCGGAATTGTCCTTTTTCTTTGTTGTTGTTTTTGCTTTTGGGGTCACACCCAGCGACGCTCAGGGGTTACTCCTGGCTCTGCACTCAGGAATCACTCCTGGCGGTGCTTGAGAGGGGACCGTATGGGATGCCGGGGGTCGAATCCAGGTCAGCCGCATGCATGGCAAACGCCTACTCTCTGTACTATCGCTCTGGCCGCCGAATTGTCCTTTCAAAAGCTGGGTCCTGTGTAGGGCAAGTCTGGCGTCCTTTTAGCGGAAGTGCTTCGATCTGAGGCCACCAGTGGCTTGCCGCACCCTGCTTCTTTCCACCCCGGCCCTGAGCTCCTGCCTGGGGGAGACCCTTTGCCGGTCAGCTGCGTTCTCGAGCTGGACTTCTCACTTACCATCTTCCCCAGCGCTTGCCGCGGTGCTGGGAGTGGTGACGGGCAACTGTGGAACTCTGGAGGAGCACTTGCCTCCTGTGCGGGAGCATCTCCTGAGCTCCACCTTACCCCCGAGCGCACACAGCCCCGGGTGACGCTTCTCCGCTGCCTTCCCTGGTTTCAGATCAGATCGACGAGAATCTCAAACTGGCCTTGCAACAGGACCTGACCTCCATGGCTCCCGGGCTTGTCATCCAGGTAAGCGTTGGCGCCACTGCCTGGAAGTTGCATCCCCGCGTTCGGGGTTGGTTTTGGTTGGACTGCTGGGCGCTGCTCGGCCCCCGGCCACCCGCCTTCCCACCGGCTGCTCTTTTCATCCTTCTCCAGGCCGTGCGGGTGACCAAGCCCAATATCCCAGAGGCGATCCGCAGGAATTATGAGCTGATGTGAGTATCCCTTCTGCCCCACCAGAGGCACCGTCAGCTGGGACCCAGCCTCCCGGCACTCCCCTCCCTGAGATTAGGGTGGTCTCAGCCCACTGTACCCAGAGATGCAGCGGACAGCCTCCTGACCGGCAGCAGACCCCAAGGGCCTCCGAGGGAGCCCTGCCTGCCTGATGCTTTTGAAGGGACCGGGAGGCCTTGTTTGTGCTTCGTGGCTTGCGCTGAAAAAGACACGCGGGCGGTGCCTTTTACCAGAGTAGAACCATTGCTCACCTGTTAGCCCTTCTGGAAGAGGGTAGCAGGCAGCCAGCGTTTATCCGAGGGCTGAACCGTCTTCTAGAAGGCGAGAGAGACTCAGTCATTTGCCCAGTGGCCCGTGAGCTTCGGCAGGGCGCCCCCAGCTGGCCGCTCAGCTGCTCACTTCTTTCCGCTGCAGGGAGAGCGAGAAGACGAAGCTGCTCATTGCCGCCCAGAAGCAGAAGGTGGTGGAGAAGGAGGCCGAGACGGAGCGGAAGAAAGCCCTCATCGGTCAGAGTGTGGTCTGGGGCTGCGGCCAGGGCAGGCTGGGCAGCGGGAAGGTGCAGGAGGCCTGAGGCCCCCCCGGGCCCCACCATCCTCTGAATCTCCCCCAGAGCCCTGCTGGACTGGCTGGGTTGTGCCAGGAGGTAGCAGACTGGAGTGGCGCAGCTTAAAATGAAAGAGATCCTCTCCTCGGTCCTTTATAGTGTAATGCCCACCACTTCCTGAGAACCTGACTGTGGGCCAGGGATGTTTCTAAACTTGCACACGTGAACTCGCTCACTCGTGGTCACTGGGCACTCTCCTTGACCTTGTTTTTCTGGGAAGACATCTCCCCGGGGTCAGTGGGTGCGTAGAATGGAGCTAGGGGGGATGCAGGATGGGGCTCCAATCCTGGGTGGTTCTGCAAGGTTCTGCTTCTTCGGGTGAAGAGGCATTTTAGACATTACTTCTTTAGCTCTTCCTCTGTGGGGAGATCCTATGACTCAGGGGAGCCCAGGCTCGCCCCTCACTGTTGCCAAGGGATTGACCCCCTCCCTCGGTCCCAGACTCTGGCATTGTCTACCCTGATACCTCTGCCCGTGCCGCCCCTGGGCCCGTGGCTCGCCTTTCACCTACCCTGCTCCCAGCCTCGGTCTGGCAAGGGAAAGGGAAGCTTGGGGAAGCCTCGGATAGGTCCGTCATCAGACTTTGGACTGTCAGCTCTGAGTTTACTCTTCTCTACTCCGTTGACTTAGAGGCGGAAAAAGTGGCTCAAGTGGCAGAAATCACCTACGGGCAGAAGGTGATGGAGAAGGAGACTGAGAAGAAGATTTCGGAAATTGAAGGTGAGCAGAGGCGGAGCCAGTGCCTCGGCGTCCTCGGCGCCCACCCTGTGGCAATGGGGTGGGCTGGAGGGGCCTTTCCCTGGCTCTTTCACAGTTGTTCTAAAGTGACATAGTTTCTTTAAAACGTCGCCTTTTCTCGGCCCACCACACGGGCACCTAAGTGTGACTAGAACTATCCCCGGAAAGCCCTTAGCGCTGCCAGAAGAGCCTGGCAGGACACACACACAAAAAAAAAAAAAAAAAGGGGGGGGGACCATGGGGCTAGGGCTAGGGATGTTAGTCAGACGGTAGAGCTTGATGCCCAGCACTAATGTCCCCCCATCCAGGACCACGGAGGTAGCCTTGGTGGCCTCCCCCGCAAGCAAACAGAATGGCAGTCGCAGGCTGCCCTGTACTCCGCAGGCCTTCAGACCCGCTCCCGGGGGGCACCAGGAGCATCTCTGGGACCCCGCCCTGTGGGGGCTGCATGGGGGATTTTCTTTGCTGATTTTCCTGAGTCACATTTCCATCCCTCCCTCCTCCTCAGCCGCCACATCATCCCCACCAGCCCCCTGTCTTTCCCGTGGTGCTTAGGTCAAGCAAGTTTTAGGACTAAGATGGACAGTCAGTAAATACCAGTTGGCGTCGCTCGTGGAAGACAAGGAATAAAGCAAAGGAACAGACCGCGCTAAAGTGAAACAAACCCTGGAATTGTGCCTACAGAGCCAGTTCTAGGGGCGGTGGGTGGGAGCAGAAGGTGAAAGGGGTTTGTGCCGAATTTCCAGCCTCGCTCCTGGAAACTCTGCTTCCTTCCTGTGGCCCCCTGTCTTCCCGGCTCCCCCCATTGATGCGGTTTTCCCAGGAGACCCCAGTTGAGAGACACTGGTCTAGAGACTTTAGTGCATGGGGATAGTGTCCCTGTGACGAGGTTTCAGCATGCCCACTTCAAACAGTGTCGGGAGGGCTGGAAAGATGCTCATCGGCCTGGGCACGTGCTTTGCAGGCAGGTCACGTGGGTTTAATCCCCACGCTTCCCTGAGCACCACCAGGAATGATGCTGCAGCTCCAACTCAAAGAGGCCCTGAGCACCACAAAGTGTAGCCAAACAAGCGAGCAAAACTCCTGTTGCAACCAGCATCACCTCAAATTTTTAAAAAAAGAAAAAAAGGGGTCAGAGCAGTAGTACAGCGGGGAGGGCGTTTGCCTTGCACGTAACTGACCCAGGTTCGATCCCCGGCGTCCCTTATGGACTCCCGAGTACTGCAGGAGTAATTCCTGGCTGCAGAGCCGTGAATGACCCCTGAGCATCGCCAGGCGTGTCCCAAAAAGCAGAGAGAGGGAGAGGGAGAGAGAACCAAGACATCAGCACCCAACGTCTTGCTCTGAACAAGTTTAACTGAACTTGATAGGTTCAGTTGAGGCTGGTAAGGCCTTGCAGGAACCCGCTGAACTTAAGTTTTAAAGCCTGTTTAGGATTTGACAGGTCAGTGGCTCTTCCTTTGAGACCTGTGCAAAATAATACATTTTTAATTTCTCGTTAGCATCAGGTGCTAAGGCCTGGAGTCATCTTGCACAGCGGGCAGCCCAGTCAGACTGCAAGTTCCCACACCCGGGTCTTGTTCAAGGTAGACAGGAAGCCCTTGCCCACAGCCTGACCTTTTCACCTGGGGTTTCACCGTAGATATTACCTGGCGGCTGCCCTCATTCTCCAGGCAAAGGTGTAAATAGGACTAGAAAGCTCATCTCGGCCGATGCAGGCAGTATGTTACTTGCGTAGTAGAATTTTAAATAGGTTTTACACCAGGGCCAGAGAGATAGTACAGTGGGTAGGGCAGTTCCTTGCATGCCCCTGACCGAGGTTTGATCCCCAGGACCTACCTGTGAGCACCAGAAACCCTCCGGGGTGTCTCCTGACCCCAGAGCCCAAAACATGAAAACATAGGGGTCTTAACCCAGAGGTGTTAGCGGGGCCCAGCACAGCAAGTCTCTCAGGGTTGCGGGAGCTTCAACACAGCTCATTAGAAACTTCCAGGGTGCTGAGGTCCGAGATGCCAGGGTTTGTGTTTGTGGTATTGGCTTAGGGCGACAATCCGCGCCCTCTTTGGGCTCCCCTTGCTTTGGCTGCTTGCAGCAGAGGGTAAGCTGAGGCAGAGAGCTTAGAAACTAGAGACAGAGGGGCCTGGTGCAGAAGATGGGGCTTCCGCGTGCCTCCTGGGAAATGCCGTGCAGGTGGGCACAGCCCAAGCCTGGGGCTCTCGCCCCATCATAGGGAGATGCTCCTTCGTGTCGGTTGATGTTCACCACGTGTGAAATGGGGAGAGAAGTGCCTGTTTCCCGTTTCCCAGCCGAGGACCCCATAGTCCAGGGCAGACGGCACTCTCCCCACCACCGAGGCGTCTGGGGAATGCCCAGCCAACCCTGCATCCGCTGTGCCCGCAGCAACAGCGTGTCACTCACTGCCTCCTTCCCCGCAGACGCGGCGTTCCTGGCCCGGGAGAAGGCCAAGGCGGACGCCGAGTGCTACACCGCTATGAAAATAGCCGAAGCCAACAAGGTAAGGGTGCAGGCGGTCTGGGAGAAAGCGGGGCGCCAGCCGGGGTCTGGGCTTCTGCTGGCCGGAGAAGCTGCCGCCTGTGTGGCCTGGGCCGGCTCTCCTCTTTCCTTAGAGCTACCACGAAAGTCAGTTTTCCTCTTCGGCACAAAAACTCTTCCCTCTCTTCCTTGAAGGCCCTGAGTATTTCTCTTCCCGAATTCCCGCCATCCCCAAAGGCACTGTGAGAGCGGGGGAAGCAGTGGCCGGTTTCTCTGCTGGAGCCCCTCCACGGGGAAAGGGGAAGAGCCCCAGGAATCGGCTCAGCCCGGGTCTACCTGAGGTTCAGTTCTTCCCCTTCTGTTTGTTTTTGTTTTGAGGCCACACCTGGCCAGGCTCGGGGCTTACTCCTGGCCCTGCACTCGGGAACTGCTCCCGACGGTGCTGGGGGGAGGGAGACCATATGGGATTCCATACTGAACCCGGGTCGGCCGCGTGCCAGGCAGGCGCCCTCCCCACTGTCCTGTTGCTCCAGCCCCTCACTCCTTCCTCTCTCACAGCTGAAGCTGACCCCGGAGTACCTGCAGCTGATGAAGTACAAGGCCATCGCTTCCAACAGCAAGATCTACTTTGGCAAAGATATCCCGAACATGTTCGTGGACTCTGCAGGCGCGCTGGGCAAGGAGTTTGAGGGCCTCACTGACAAACTAGGCTTCACCTTGGAGGACGAACCCTTGCAGGAGACAGACGCGGGAGAGAACTGAGCACGCTTCCACAGCCTCAGAGGACACTTGAGGAGATCTTTAGTTCTTACTGATGAGCCAGGACGCCCCTTCCTCCCGCAGTTCCTTCCCTGACGCTCTTCCACTTCACTGTGGTGCAAAAAAAAAAAAGAAGAAAAGGCTTGAAATCTGGTCCCCTAGGGCAGGGATTGATGATTTGGGGTCTCCAGCAGGTAAGTGGGTTCCCTGACTGCTCTCACTGCCCCGTGGCTTTGACCTTCCACTGGCAGACACTAATTTTAGCCCTTTGCTGCTGGCTTAATTAGGGATGGTGCTGGAGCATGGGGAGAAATTCTGGGTACTGCCGCCAGGTGATTAGCATCCCCTTCCGCAAACTCCCTGTATGGCTCCCGCCTGTCCCGACTCTGGTGGGAGGTGCCTTGGCGGTGAGCAGACTCCTGGGCTCGGTGCAGTCGTGAGCTCTGTGGACTCGACTCCTCTAGGTGCCGTTTTCTCTACCCTGGGACGAGGACGGGGGCCCGGCCCGAAGCTTTCGTACTGTGGCCCTCCTTGCCCTGGGACTCAGGAACGGTGGGTTTCTGACTACGTTTCCGGAGTCAGGGTTTGGTCACCACCACAAAATTCTTTTTTAAGACTTTCCACCCTTTTGTGATTTGGTGTGTGTCCCCCCACCCCCACCCCCAAACTTGTCCATTGATTCCACTCGGCATTCAGGAGATGCGAACAAACAGCTCAAGTGTCTTAATTGCTGCTGGAGTGGGGTCCTTCCCGTGTGTCCTGGAGACCGTGTGTCTTTATTGTTGTGGCGAGTCCGCATTGGAGGCCCTCTGGAGGAGGACAGAGGGTCACCCAAAGGCTTGCCCGTCCTAATGCCCGTGGCGTGTGCTGGGCACTTCCCACCCCATATGACATCCAGAGGAACGTGGGGTGGGAGAGATGGGCGCTTGCCTTGCTGTGGCCCTTCCGGTTTGACCTCAGCCCGGCATATGGCCCCCCCTGAGCACCGCAGGGACTGATCCCTGAGCAAGCTACCTCTGGTTGTGGCCAGAAAACCAAAACTAAAGCAAGCATTTTCTCCACGTAGCATGCACTGCTGGACCTTGGGTTCTGGCCAGCGACCGGGCAAGGCAGAGCAGAGTCCGTGCCTGCACCCCCAGGGTCAAATGGTCACTGCAGCAATCCCAATCGGATGATTTCTGTGTCTTTTCTAATTGGGACACTTCTGAGGGGGATTCGGGGTGAGGGAGTGCATCCGTGAAGGAAAGATGTTCCTGCAGCAGGCTGGGTCACGCAGACAGGCACCCTGTGTGATTCCTGCTCTTGGACTAGTTGCTAGGTGAGGGTCGCCCTCCAGAGTCATCTTGCAAAGTGTCAGGATTCACTGCCCCAATCTTTGGCTCAAGATTTGCCTCTACTGGGGCCAGAGCGATAGTACAGTAGGCAGAGAGCTTGCCTTGTATGTGGCCAGCCTGGTTCGACCCCCAGCATCCGATATGGTCCCCCAAGCACCACCAGGAGTTACCCCTGAGCAAGAGCTAGGGTGTGGCCCATGAAACAAAGATCTGTCCTGTGGAGCGTGTGCTTTGCATGCACGAGGTTTGGGCTCAGTCCCCTGCACACTGCCCGGAGTGACCATAAACCAGTAATGCGGCAAGAGGAGCCTCTCACCATTGCCAGCTACGACCCAAGAACTTTTTTTAAAAAATAAGAAAATGTGGCCTTGTTACTACCAAGCTCCCCTCCAAGCTGGCCCTGGCCCCTCTTTCCTCACTGAAACTAGGGAGGCTCTGGCGCGATCTGCACCTAGCACGTGGCCAGGCCCCGTCCCCTGGCTCACCTGCTGGCCCCAGCTCAGGCAGCTTGCCCCTGGCCGGCTCAGGTTTGTCGGGAGTGGGGGGAGCATTCAGCCAGTCTCGGAAGAAACAAAATGTGAATTCCTTGCAACCTGAACGTCCTTCTCTTCCATTCTCATTCCGGGGACTTCGGTTTCAGACCGCTGTTCCTTGTTACACTCAGTTTAGGGGACCAAATGTTTCTGGGCGTGATGGAGTGTAGTGCAGAAGGAAGCCATCCTGAAAGCCGGGTCTGGTGTCCACTTCAACCAGCATGGACCCTCTCCCGTCTCAGTGTCTCCGAGCTTTGTCAGGAGCCATACCGCCCATCCAGCGTCCCCAGTCGACTTGTCTGCCCATTCTGCTCGAAGACTTTGAGTCTGGGAAAACACTGCTTTTCCCTAGCAGAGTAAGGAGCAAGGCCGTCTCCAAGTGTCCAGACAGCACTGCCGCTTGGGTTTTTAACTTGAAAGTCTAATCCTAAAAAGTCTAAACAACTTGTGACAGCATGTCCTATGCACGAGTCAGTCTTTGACCACACGCACACAAAAAAAGAAAAAACCAAAGTCCTACTGCTCCTGGCCCTCGGTGTCACTGTGGCTTCCTAGGTACAGATAGCGGACCCGGCGGTTTAACCCCGGGCTGCCTGTACCTGCGTCGGGGATAAGTTCATGGAGTGAGCTCTTGGCTTTGCGGGGGACAGCTCGCCCATCGATCTGTCGGACAGTTTCTGATCTTACAGGATTTGAATTCTAAACATGTAAAATGTGACAGCCTGCAGTGTTGTGGGCAGGAAAGTCATGGCTGCTATTTATACGTGTGGGTAACTTTATACAACTCCGTTTTTGTAGGATTTTCCAAGGAAAAGTCACCTTGGTTGAATGTTTCTCACTCATACTTTGCAGAAATGATTCGTATTCAGTACTGTTTTAAACCGCTTTTTTAGTCTGAGGCCAGAATGTTTGCAAGGAAGCCAAAGTTCGTTGATGATTTTTATATGACTTTAAAAAAATTAGAGGGATCTGTGATCAGCTTAAGTTAAAGGAGGAAAAAATGTATCATGGAAAGAATTTTAGCAAGATACTGATTTTCTTTTTTTTTTAAGTACGAAGTGGGGCTGGTGATATTGCTCAGAAGCAGGCACATGTCTGCGCATGTGAGGCCGGGCTTGAGCGCGGCTCCCAGAAGAGAGAGGGGGACGTCTCACCCGTGATCGATTGAGTATGGCCTCTCTGGGTCTCTGCGTCTCGGCAATGGTGGCTGAACTGTTTACAGTGTTCTAAATTTATCGCAAATAGTGAAAGCAAGATCATTATAGTTACCAACTTCCTTATTTAAGTTTAAGGTGAAATCTCTGCTCTGTGACCTGCGCCTCCCCATTACTCCTCTGGTTCTGTTCAGAAGGGTCTCGAATCTGTTCCTACTGTTTCCTTACAAGAGAGATACTTGCCCATCGTTTTGTGTTTGTATTTCTATTACTTTTTATTTCTGCTTTGGTGGAAGCTGGTGATCGAATAGTCAAACTTCAGCTTTCAAGGAGCCCCAGTGATTTGACTTTGTAACAGAGAAGTAATTCTTGTTATAATCATCACTCTGTAAATGATATGCTGAATTAATTGCTGTGGGTTGATAGTTGGAGAAGTCATTTGGGCAACAAATGCTACGGTATGAATTTTTGTCCTAGTTTTGTTTTCAGTCTTGCTAAATAAAATGAATCTTTGTATTTACTCTTGTTAGAGTGAAATTTTAGCAATAGTTAAAATAGGATGGATGTTAGAAAGAAATAAAACATTTCTCCTGTTGAGTTGGGATCACCTTCAAAATACATTCACAAGCGTATCTGTCCCTGTTACCAACATAGAGGCAGTAACTGATTTACTTGTGAGCCTGGCATCATTCTCAGTCAGTACTATAAAGGTCATTTTAAAGAACCCAACTCCAGAGACTAGAGCAATAAGACAGCGGGCAGGGTCCTTGGTTTGCATGCAGCTAACTCGGGTTCAATCCCCTGTACCATATATGGCCCCCAAGCTTTGCCAGGAGTGGTCCCTGGGCTTAGAGCAGGAATAAGCCCTGAATACCACCTATTGTGACCTAAAACAAAAACAGAAAACAGAACAGTAATAATGGTTCAACCTCACTGCAAAGGTGGTGTTCTAAATTTATCTCAATTGCCTTGCACGCAGCCAACATGGCCGACCCGAGTTCAATTCCTCCGCCCCTCTCGGAGAGCCCAGCAAGCTACCGAGAGTATCTCGCCCGCACGGCAGAGCCTGGCAAGCTCCCCGTGACGTATTCGATATGCCAGACACAGTAACAACAAGTCTCACGATGGAGACGTTACTGGACCCGCTCGAGCAAATCGATGATCAACGGGAGAAAATTGTTGAGAAAATTGGTTTCTTTGAAAAGATGTCCAGCGAAGTACAGTATACTGTAGCATTGTCCTCCCATTGTTCATCGATTTGCTTGAGTGGGCACCAGTAACATCTCCATCGTGAGACTTGTTACTGTTTTTGGGATATCAAGTATGCCACGGGGAGCTTGCAGGCTCTGCCGTGCAGGCAGGATACTCTCAGTAGCTTGCCGGGGCTTTCCTAGAGGGATGGAGGAATCGAACCCGAGTAGGCCACGTGCAAGGCAAACGCCCTATCTGCTGTGCTATCGCTCCAGCCCCACGATATACAGTATGCCCAGCTAAATATGAACTTCACATAAACAGTTGTGTTTTTTTTGTTTTGTTTTGTTTTGTTTCTTTTTGGGTCACACCCAGCGATGCACAGGGGTTACTCCTGGCTCTGCACTCAGGAATTACTCCTGGCGGTGCTCAGGGGACCATATGGGATGCTGGGAATTGAACCCAGGTCGGCCTCATGCAAGGCAAATGCACTACCCACTCTGCTATCTCTCCGGCCCCCATATAAACAGTTTTTAATGTTTGTCCCAAATACAGACTGAGATATACTTATACTAAAAGTATTTGTTGTTTATAAAATTGCACATTTAACTGGGCATCCTACATTTTTACTAGAAATGTAGTCACACTAGCTCAACCTCTGTGGCAGGGCATTCCCTTTTATTTCTAGTCATTTTGTCTGGACACACTAAGAGATATATTAAGCTTAAAGGGTGGCTTTCCCTGAGGACATCTCATTCTGTATCCCAGACTACAGTGCTCAAGCCGGGTTAGTCTTTCCTAACCCTAGCAGGGTCCTTACCTAGTTACTTCTTTTTGGTTTATGACAGCGTTTCTCCATGTTTTTGGGTGGAGCCCTCCACTCTGTTTGCATGTTACCTTCGTTGATCCGCATTGTAATCCTGAAGGAGATGCTGACCCCATCTTAGAATTGAAAAACTGAAACCATGAAGTAACTTCCCCAAGTTCATGGTTTCATAGTAAAGCCAGGATTCAACTCAACGCACTTCATGCCACCACTACCCGCAAGTGTTTGTTGACTTGAAAGTTTAAATCCTTTCATGGTGCTTTTGGGGGAACCACGCACCTACACAAGGGTGATGGGGTTAGAGAACGGGCCTTAAAAGAGACCTGAACTGAACAAGAGGCTCCTGCAGGTCACCGTCAACTGCTGGGGGTGGGAACAGGTTCTTCGTCTAGGTTCGTTGTCTGTTCTGGTTGTTCTATAGGTTTGTACGGGTTTGGTGGCTCACAGCTTTGGGGGCTAATCCTTGAGACAAAAACTGTTTGCTTGGGTGCTAGCCTGAGCCCATGGTGAACTTGTTCCATCTACAACCATGTCACTCTCAAGAGCGGTCATGGGACTTTTAAAGGGCTGGTGGAGGAAGTAGAGAAGGGCCCTGTCACGTCACAGCCTGCTGGTGTCAGTGGTTCTATGAAGTCACCTGAGCTTCCTTGTAGAACTTAACACCATTGTACAACACAACCTTTTTTGGGGAGGCTGGGGGTGTTCTTTTTGGTTGAGGGGTTTTTGTTGGGGGCTGTGTCCAGAACGTACTCCCGGCCCTGTACTCAGAGCATCGCTCTTGGCAGGCCTGGGGATCCATGTATGTTGCTGGGGATGGAACCAGAGTCAGCTGCGTGCACAGCAAATGCCTGGCCCGCTGCACTGTCTCACTGTCTCACTGTCTCTCATTGTGCAGTATCAGCCTTTGCTGTTCTACGTGTAACATTGTCAGGGATAAGGCAGCTTTTTTCTCTCACCCATGACTGACTTCTAGTTTAGTATTAAATGTTTCTAGAGGGGTCGGAGCTAGAGTATAGCAGGTAAAGTGTTTGCCTTCCACATGGCTGACCGTGGCACCCCGTATGGTCCCCTGAGCCCGCCAGGAGTAATTCTTGAGTGTAGAGCCGGGAGTAACCCCTAATCAGGCTGGGGGTGGCCCAAAGGCCAAAAAAGAAAAAGTTTATAGAAATATTTTCAAACTTTAAGTGAAAGGCAGACACAAGGAATAAGAGAGTTTAAAATTCTGCAGAGAACAGGTTTCTAGAGCGGCTCACAACAGACCCAGCCTCCCTTCTTCTGTCTCAGGGAGAGTCCATTTCCCATGGGGAATCACCTGCTTTCCAGGAGAAAAATAGGGGTGTGCATTGTCTGAGTCTCACGATCACGATCACGACCATCTTGTTGTTCGTCGATTGCCTCGAGCAGGCCCCAGTAACGTCTCCTTCATCCTAGCCCTGAGAATTTTTCAAAAAGTGCCATATTCAAGGTTCTTCAGGGTTAGGAGAATGACACCCATCATTGTTACTGGTATTTGGCATATTGGGTACGCCATGGGGAGTTTGCCAGACTCTGCCATGTGGGCAGGTTACATTTGGTACCCTGCCAGTTTGTCCAAAGTAAGAGTGAGATGTGGCCGCGCGCTTCCGGGAGCTGGGTTTTATAGTCTCCGGGTCTTGGCCGTTGATGGGATTACACGGCGCCAGGGGGCCAGTTGGTGGGTGTGACCCCCGCCTACTGAAATTTGGAGGATCCGGGTGGAGGATGCTCAGCCCCGATCCGAGCAGGCTTGGAGATCTCAATACCTTTAAATTCAGAATAATGAATTTGAGTCTCAATACCTTCAATACCTGAGTCTCAATACCTTCAAATTCAGAATAATGCACCGGAGCGTGTGCTGAGAAGACGTGTCCTGCTGCCCCTGAGGCCTTCACCTGAATCACCATCCCACAGATCTCTGAGGCACCTGTGGCTTCTGATACTTTCCAAATCACAGGTTCTTTCACCTTGGCATACACACCCGACCTTTCCTCTGTACGCCCCGTCTCCTTGCCCCCTCCACTCCTTCCCCCTGTTCCTCCATCACACCATCACTGTGGCCCCACCCGTCAGTCAGCCCGTCACCCTGCCGCAAACCCCGGTTCCAGCCACAGCATGAAGGACTCCTCTGGGCGTTTTTCAATTTCTCTCACTTTGCAGGAGTTGAAACGATGAAGCCCAGAGACATATTTTTCAAGCACAGTTACTCCTAAAGTTTGGCAACACCAGTTCCGAGTGTCTTAAACTTAAATCTGTCACCCTAAAATTGGCACGAGTAAAGGGTTTCTGAACATGCCACGATCGAAAATTTATTCAAAGCCAACCACATAATGAATCTGAGGTGTTTCTGGCAGTGTTCACTCGCTTTGCGTTTTTGGGCAAAAAGCAAGGGTTGGAAGTGGAAAAAGTTGAAGAAGCTAAAACCTGCCCTAGTTTAGAGATGACCCAGTTATGCAGCCCCAGAGGAAATCCTTAAAGGTGAGGACCGTAGATGCTTCTCAGAATGATTTTCCTTTGAGCAGAACATGTGAGATTACATGGAGTTTGGGATGACGGTGAGTGGGGAGGAAAATTCTGCTGCTTTCCAGAAGGTGAGAAAGTGAGCCTGGGGGGTTGGGGACGAAGAGCACTGAGCTTCTGTGCCGGGCCACTCAGGCACGGTCTGCGACTCTCACGTCCTTCCATACGCTTGTAGGGGCGACAGGGGGCGGCATCGTAGCTCTCCCATCTGCTTCCTCCAGGCTGCCTCGTGCACAGCAGCTGCGTAGGCCTGTGTGGTCTGTGACAGTTGCCTTGTCTGTGTCCCTTCTGCTCAGAGGAGGAGAGGCGTGGACCCAGTGAGCCCTTCTCTGACCACAGGCCCTGGTGGTGGGCCAGTCACACAGCGAAGTCCAGTCCCCTCAACTCAGCCTGGAGAAGTTGGAGCCCAGCATGATAGCATCCCACTTGAGTGGAAAGTTGGACTCGCACTCTGACCCCTTTCAACAGTAATGACAGCCAAACCTACTGTCCGTCACAAAGCTGATTTTCGCCTTGTCATGCCAGCTGCAGTCTGGCCTTCTGACTATTAAGCTCAGTGTGTTCCCAGGGCAGGCCTTTGTGTTTCTGAATCCCCCACCTTCATGAACTTCCTGTTCCCCAGATCCTAACACAGGTCAGGATGCTCAAAAGAGTTCGTTGGGTTTGGTTCAGTTTGTTTTGTTTTTTAATTTCTTGTGGGTCTTTGTAAAATTTTGTTTTTATTAAGAACACTGTGATTTACAGAAGTTGTACATTATCAGTTGTTTGGGCATTTAGTGTTTTAACAGCACTGGTGTGACCCTCCACCAATGTCCCCATTTTCCCTCCCATTTCCAGCCTGCCTCCTGAGGCACAGAACAAATTCTATTTTACATGATCCTACAAAACTTTAAGAAATGGCAAGTATGGGGGCCAGAGTGAGTGATAGTACAGGGGTAAGATACTTGCCTTGCAAGCCAGCAACCCGGCTTCAATCCCTGGCATCCCAGAAGGTCTCCAGAGCACTGCCAGGAGTGATTTCTGAGTGCAGGGCCAGGAGTAACCCCTGAGCATCTCTGGGTTGGCCAAAAAAAAAAACAAAACAAACATAAAAACCCACAGAAAAGAAATGACAAATAGAATGATGAGAAAATCAGTAAGAGCCAATTCGTGATTGCGTTATACTTTTTTTTTGGGGGGGGGGCTTTTTGGGTCACACCCGGCGATGCACGGGGATTACTCCTGGCTCTGCACTCAGCATTACCCTGGCAGTGCTCGGGGGACCATATGGGATGCTGGGGATCGAACCCAGGTCGGTCGCATGTAAGGCGAACACCCTACCTGCTGTGCTGTCGCTCCAGCCCCTGATTGCTACATACTTTTAACCTATGTAAATGATGAAAATAAAATCCTTTAATACAATATAATAAAATGCTTCTCATTTACATAATTAAGTTTTCAACTTGGAATCTAAAGTATATTGCATTAAATTTTATATTTGGATCTCATTATGGTAATAGTCATGCCTTATCTATCATTAATTAAACTTTTAAAGAAATTCTGTGCTGATTTTGGAGTTTATATGAAATAGGTAAGGCCTGCTTATGTAAATTTTCCTCCTGCACTTTATATGAACACTGGGGCTTACAAATTTGTTAGAGGCATTCTATATTCCAGCACCAATCCCGCCAACTTTATCATCTTCCCTCCATCGTTGTCTCCAGTCTTCCCAACCATCCCTCAAGCATGCCCCCGTAGCAGGCCCACCGTAGTTTATTTTATGTTACTTATTATCCAGGCTGGAGCGGTAGCACAGCGGTAGGGCATCTGCCTTGCATGCAGCCAACATGGCCGACCCGAGTTCGATTCCTCCGCCCCTCTCGGAGAGCCCGGCAAGCTACCGAGAGTATTCGATATGCCAGACACAGTAACAACAAAGTCTCCCATGGAGACGTTACTGGGCCCGCTCGAGCAAATCGATGATCAACGGGAGGGCCTTTACTTTACTTTTTTTACTTACTTATTATCCAAAAATTGCTAACAAACTGATGGAAAACTGTATCTTTAGAAGACAGTTAGTGTAAGTTGTTGCATCTCCCCATGGAGACATTAAGCCCCTGTGTGAGGGATTACTGAGATGTTCCAGGTTTGGTGTGGAACTGTACTGGTCGCCTTCTCTGTCATCCCATCCAGTCTGGTATGCTCCTCCTGGATTATCAGGGTTGTAGAGCTTGGGAATGTCGCGTGACCACAAGGCAGCCGTGCAGATGCTCAGTCAAGAGTTGGGGTGCATGTGTGGCTGAGCTCATTGCTGGCCTGGCTGACGCCTGTGCTCACCACCCACGAGGAAATACAAGCCACGCGAAATACCAACTGTCTCAACACTACTACCCTACACACACCAAAGAAATCGAGGCAAGCTAGGAGGCGAAGCTGTACACTGGGTTGTCGTTCAAAGGTTTTCTGTCGGGTTTTGTTGCAGACGGTTTGGTAAATTGTGGTGAAAGGGAGGTAGCCTCAGGAAGAGTGCTCCCCCTCTCTGCACCCTGGACCTTGGCCCCCAGGAAATGCCTGGTGTGGGTCAGGATTGGGAAAGTCTGTTCCGAATACCTGGGCAGCAAAGATGCTCACATCCCACCAGCCCCCCGAGGCAGCCACCCGGAGTTCTCTTGGCCTGCATAGCAAAGGAACCGGGTCCCCACCACCCAAGTTCTTGGGCAGCCGTGGACTCCAACTCTCGGACTGGAGCAAGGAATTGCCCTTTGCAGGAAAGTCAGTCCTGACCTCAGCACCTCGGCACAGGCCTGCTGGGCCCATGGTCTTCCCTCACAGAAAAGAACCCCAGGAAGAAGCAAAACAGTGAAGCAACATAGGTTTTATTAGTGACTCAGATGCAAGAGGGGAAGAAGGAAAGAAATACATGCTTAAGAACAAGCGTGCAAGCCAAGTCACAGAGACAAGAATAGGAGACGTGGGTTCAAGAGAGACGCAGGCTTGAGGAGCAAACCCCAATGACTTTCAGGAGGAGCTCAGACAATTCCTCCGAATGTTCTTGTCCTGGAGTTTTGCATATATGAAAGTTAATCCGGGTGTTGTCATAGGAAGGCCTGACACTGTGGATGGACGATCTCACCGTCATCTCATCCCTCGTGTGTTAATGGTTCCTTTACAGTCTCATCTCTCGCACATGGATGCTTTCTCTGTAATTGCCTAGATTCTTCTGTAATTCTTTTCCTGAAGGGTCATCCTCTGAGGGGTGCCTCAGTTTCTCCTTTCCAAAGAGCTCAGGATTTGTATTTGAAAAGCATGTGACCTTCATGCCTTTGAGCTCTTTCCAGGTGAAGCCACCTCTATTATTTTCCTAAAATATATTACCAGGACCACTCCTTCCCCCCCCCCCCCCCCGCAACATTAGATTCTGTTCCAGGTGCCTCACCTTCTCTTGCAGAAAAGAATTTCAAAAGGAGGTGAAAGAGTGAAGTAAAATCTGTTTCTGTTCAACCAAATTTGGAGCTATGTGAGGAAGAAGAGAGAGAATGTTCAAGAGAAAACAGGCATGAAAAGCCAAGGACTGTAGGATAGCTTTCGGAAAGAGGTTGGTTGTCACAGGAACCGCCTTTGTTGATGTCCCTTCCGTGATCTCCTACACACAAATAAGTTCTGCTGTAGCTTCTCCTTTCCGAGGGATCCACTCTTCTCTGGGTGGTGCCTCAGTTTCTCCATCTCCAAGGAGCTCAGCATTTGCATCTCAAAGGGATATGGTCTGCATGCTGATGGCTATTTCAGGGCTGGGCCCTTTCTTAAGTTTTATTGTTTACCAGAAGCTCATTACAGAAGTTAGGGTGCTTGCCTTGGAACCCCATATGGTCATCCTAGGCCCACCAGAAGTGATTCCTGAGTGCAAAGCCAGGAGCAAGCCCTGAGCATCGCTGCGTCTGGCCTAAAATAAACAAAAAGCTTATCATCAGAGCATGCCCGCCCCCCCAATCTATCTGCCTCAGCAGTTAATGTTGAAATCTTATTTAGACGATCTACTTTGGGATTCAATGTGCTGGTGAGATGTTTAACTTTCCCAGTTCCTAGTGGGGATTTCTTAATTAACTGCATCCCATATTTCTACTGAACCTCGCAGGTCTAGGTGATGACAAGACCAAAGTAATTCTAGATTCGAATCGAGCCCCGGGGATCTTTAGCATCTCGCCCCTAACGGTCCCGCACAGGAGTCACCGGGAGGTCGCAGCCCCTGCTCTGCCAGCTTTTAATCCTGGTTCCTGCGCACAGAAATCTTCGCTCTCAGCTCAGAGGGAAGGCCAGGGAAGGGGACGCCGGCGAGGCATTTGGAAAGAACCCTGAAACCGAGATTCTCGGCAGGTTCTCGGCAGGTGGGAGGAGCAGCTGGAACGACGCCAGCACAGTCCCCGGGACCCGGACCCCCCAAGTTCCCCGCGGCGACCTCCCCAACATGGCCACCGCCGAGGGGCGGGGCCGCGCGTCGCCCCGCCCCGCCGCCCCACCCGGGCGGCGATTGGACGAGGGCACGCGGCGGGGAGCGGTGATTGGGCCCAGCCTTGTCGTGACGGGGCGGGACCGGAAGATGGTCTCCGAGCTCTGCGGGGGGTCCCCGGGGAATGTGGCGAGCCGGGGGCATGTCTGCGGAGCTGGGCCTGGGGGCCGCCCTGCGGGCGGTGAACGAGCGCGTGCAGCAGGCGGTGGCGCGACGGCCGCGGGTGAGGCGGGACCCCTGCGTGGGGCGGGGCGGGACCGGGCCGCGCCTGGCCGGGAGGAAGGTGAGCAGCGCCCAGCAGCGCGGACCGAGCTGCCCGCGGCGCGGCTGGTCAGTGCCCAGTAAATGCTCCGTGCACGTCTGCTCTGCCCCTCGCCGGCGAGGAGACGGGGGGCCGGCCGGGCTCCGGAGGCCCCAGCGCTAGTGGCACCTGGGGACAGGGACAGGACGGGGCGGACCCCCTCTCCCGAGAAGCGTCAGGGCAACGCGCGTGTCCCCCTAGAATTTCATTAGCCCAAAGTCACAGATTATCTGCGCCCTCTCGGTGTCCTCTGAGTTGAGAGGCGCCGCGGGAGACAGACTCGAGCAGAGGCTAAAGGTTTCCCTGATCAATCATTTACAGAGTCACGACTCAGAGCAGGTCTTGAATCATCAGGCTGTTGGAGCAGTGCAGGGGTGGGAAGGGTCGTGCGGGAGGTAGGCGCTGGCCTTGCACTCGCAGGGGTCGCTGCCCTGCCACCCCGCATCATCCCCTGAGCCCCGCCAGGAGTAAGCCCTGAGCATGCCCAGGGGTCGTCCTAAAACAGAAAAGCCAAAAAAAGTCTGATTCCCTAAGAAAAAAGCAGGGATTCCCCAGCTAAGCTTACTCTGCAGGTTCAGTTTTGGGGACGGTACAGTAGGTCAGGCCTTGGTACCTCATAGGGTGCCCGAGGCCGGCCACCAGTGAACCCTGAGCACCTCTGGTGTGGCACCAATAGGAGAGAGCTATGACGTGGTCTCCTAAGAGGCTGATCATGCGGCTTGGGGCGGAGGGAGCACATCCCAGCAGCCGTGCTCAGGGCTTACTCCTGGCTCTGTGCTCAGGGTTCACTTCTGGTGGCCTCAGAGGACCATATAGGGTGCCCCAGATCAAAACCAGTTAGGCCACGTGCAAGGCAAGATCCCACCCACTATATGATCTTTCGGGTCCCAGTAATGCCGCTTTCTGAAGGAAATGTCTGCTAATCATTGAGTTTTCAGGCCCCTGGAGATCCTGTGATTCTGTGCATATCCCGGGGCTGGCAAGGTGCCTGAACACTGAGCTGAAGGAGGGGAATCTCTTGGTCCTGTTTGGGTTTGTTTTGCCCAGAACCTGCAAAGCCTTGGCCTTTGGGTATGGGATCAGCCAGGAGAGGGTATCAGGTAGACCTGATCCTGAGCTGGCGCTTTTGATGTCCAGGACTCAGCTATGACTTTGATTAGTTGAACAAGAAATTAGTTATCCTGAGCAGGCTGCCTTGGAGGGTAAGTGAGAACAAGATTAGTAATCACACCGAACCAGACAGAGCTTCAGACATCTCTGGCCCTGGGGTTTCAGAAGCCACAAGAGATCGCTTCTGGTCAGAGTGCCCCCTCCCTCGGGGGATTCCCCACCTACTGCCTAGCCAGGCAGCAGATGTTTCTGCAGTTCCTTAAAAAGTGGATTCCCTTATGTAAATGTACCAAAGTTTCTTTAACCAAGGAATGAAACCCAAGCACAAAAATTTGTAAGTCTACAACTGTACCTCATGGTGTCTCACTAATAAAAATTAATAAAATTAAATTAAATTTTAAATAAAAGTGGATTCCCAGGAAACGGGACAGGTTACAGTGGGTAGCACATTCGCCTTGCATGTGACCAGCCCAGTCCCATCCCCAGCAACTCATGTAGGGGCCCAGCCAGCTCCATGGGTGCTAGGTATTGCCCCTATTTTTTTAAAAACCTGGTATTTTTATGATGCAATCTCACAGTATGTTGGACTTGCCAAAACACTCACTCTGGGCTCTTTTGTCTTTGAACAGGACCTCCCTGCCGTCCAGCCCCGGCTGGTAGCAGTCAGCAAAACCAAACCTGCAGACATGGTGATCGAGGCCTATGGGCATGGCCAGCGCACTTTCGGGGAGAACTATGTAAGAGCCGTGTGCGGAGGCTGAGGGGACGCCTCCAGGGGCTGGAACTCATGCCATGCATGCTCTAGGTTGGAGCTCAGCCCATCACACACCCACCCCCACCCCAACCCCTATAACCCATGTGACTTCAGGATGTCACAGTCACGTGGTACACCAAATAACACCACACCGCCAGGCCCAAGTGCTGACCCCTCCTGGGCCAACTATTCCCAGGAGCCCCCTGAGCTTGGATGGATGCCCCCACCATCCAAAGCACCGTTGTTTCCAAATTGCTTCTGGAAGTGTCTTCTTTTGTTTTCCCCTTTAGGTTCAAGAACTGCTAGAAAAAGCATCGAATCCTAAAGTGAGTGAATGCCTACATTTTTTTTTTGTTTGTCTCTAAGTCGCGTGTATGTTTACTTATCAAGATGGTTTTTATTGAACACAACTAACTTAGAAAGATGGGTGGGGAGGAAAGGAGTAGGTGTTCAGGAGAGAACAGAAGCACGGCAAGTAAAGAAACTGAGAAAACATGTGTTCGAGGCGGAACCCAGCCTTGAGGAACAAGCCTCTGATTCGTGGCTCTGTGTTAGAGAAAGAGGCCCTCGTCGATGGTTGGGTTTTAGAGTGGGAGAGTAAGACTGTCAGTAGAAACATCAGCATTCACCTTGCACCCCAGATATTTCCCAGCTAGATTTTTTTCTTTATTAAATTGTCATTTTTCTCCTGTGTTGCTGCTGGGTATGGAGATTTTCAGGCTTATTATCATCGTGAATCCTTTTGAAATCTGAAAGCTTTAGTCATTCCATTCTTGGTGGGTGGTAATTGAAAGGTGGAAAGAGGATGAGAAGCACAATAGTAACCTTAAGCATTGCTCACAGTATCCTTAGGAAGCTGGCGGTAGGTGGGAAAAGTAGTTTATTGCATAGATAGGCAAGATAAGGGTGTTTGGACTGGCACCGGCACCATTAAATCGGAGATAAACTTGATTACCTTTTCAGATTCTGTCTTCATGTCCTGACATTAAATGGCACTTCATTGGACATCTGCAGAAACAAAATGTCAACAAATTGATGGGTAAGATAAAACAAAATCTGCAGAGAAAGCTCTGCCCCCTTCTTCTGCCAGTGTTGTACCCTTTTGATTACTGTCTGTGGAAGAGGGGACAGATTCGTAAATCCTCCTAACTCCTCGTTTGTGATTGGGAGTTGGTTGGGGAGAGAAATTTGAGTTCTTGGGGCTTCTCTTTTTGGGAGCTATGAGGAGGTTGGCCACACCCAGCTGTGCTCAGGAGTCATTCCTGGCTCTGCACCCAGGGATCACTCCTGGTGGTGCTCGGGGGACCATATAGAATGCTAGGATGGAACCAGGGTCCGCCATGTGCAAGGCCATTGCCCTACCCACTGTACTATCACTGTCGTCCCTCTTTTCACCTTCTTGCTGATGTTGTTTTTACATCACAGAAGTTTTTCATTTCATGTAGTTCAGTCTGTTTTATGAATATACGTGTGTGTGTGTGTGTGTGTGTGTGTGTGTGTGTGTGTGTGTGTGTTGTGGAAAGAGCGACACCCAGCAGTGCTCAGGGCTTACTCCTGGCTCTGTGCTTGGAATATCTCCTAGCGAACTCATGGACCATCCCAGCTTGGCTGCATGGAAGGCCAGTGCCCCACCCGCTGTCCTATTCCAGCCCGTGTTTTATCTTTGGTCTTTGTTGGGTAACATATCTGAGAACCCCAAAACCTGAGAAGCACAGTGGGGGGATGGCGGGGAGGGGGGAAGGGGGCCAGGGGGACGGTGACAGACTGAGCAAGTGCGCCCCAACATTTCTCCTTTGAAATCGAACTGCATCCAGATTCTCTGCCCCTCAGAATTCAGAGTCAGCCACAGTCAGTTCCTATTCCCCTCCCATGCCGCATCCCCAACGTTGCTTAGGGAATATGCAGAGACTCCTGTGGGACACCCTCTCCTGTCCCCTCTTAAGGATCAGTGTCTTTCATGGCAGCATTCTGGGGTTTTTTGGGGGGGTTTTTTGGTTTGTTTCTGGGTCACACCCAGCAATGCTCAGGGGTTACTCCTGACTCTGCACTCAGGAATAACTCCTAGTAGTGCTCAGGGGACCATATGGGATGCTGGGAATCGAACCCGGGTCAGCCGTGTGCAAGGCAAACACCCTACCCACTGTGCTATCGCTCCAGCCCCGCATTCCTGGCTCTTAAAGCTCGTTGTTTCCTTCGTGCTGTGGCATCTGTCTGATTTATGTCGGGTCCCCAGCTTCCACCTGGGAGCAGACGACTCGGCTGCTCTTCAAAAGCCGATTTATCCCGTGTGAAGGAAGGGGGTCGCATATTTATCCTTACTAAACCACCGTGGGGCAGGCAACTATTTATTTGAGAAATAATTAGATTCCTTTTCACACATTCCAATTAAAGAACCTTATCTTGAAAATCAAAGCTGAAGCTATTAGGAGAAAATATAAGGAAACTTTTTTTCATTTTCTCGGGCTAGGGAAAGTCTTAAGAAAACACCAGGTCTGGAAGCCACAAAAGAAAGAGCAAAGGTTTGATTACACATAGATTAAAGTTTTGTGTACTTCCAACCAAAAGAGAAGCACAGACTGAGACAAAAATATTTTTCACTAGAAAAATAATATTTTTAAAAGGAGATAAAGCGCATATAAGCTGGGCGTCAGAGCCCTGGGTTCTTGCAGGAAATGTGCACTGGTGAAGGGTTGGGTGCTGGAATATTGCATGACTGAAACTCAATCAGGAACTACTTTGTGCATCTCACGGTGATTAGTTTAAAGCATTATTTTTCTTTTGCAATTTTTTAAAAATTTTTATTAGTGAAACACCACGAGGTACAGTTGTAGATTTACAAATTTTTGTGCTTGGGTTTCAGTTATACAATGATCAAATACCCATCTCTCCACCAGTGCCCATTTTCCACCACCATGGGTCCCAGTATCCCTCCCACCCCCCCATCCCCCTCATCCCACCCTGTCTCTGTAGCAGGGCATTCCCTTTTGTTCTCTCTCTCCTTTTGGGTGTTGTGGTCTGCAAAAGAGGCATTGAGTGGCAATCATGTTTGGTCGATAGTTTACTTTCAGCATGCTTCTCCCATCCTGGGAGGATCCTCCCAACACCCTTTATTTGGTGCTCCCTTCTCTATCTGAGCTGCCTTTTCCCCTATAATGCCTGGCTGGCCTCTAAGCCATGGAGTAATCCTCCTGGTACTAATCTCAGCCACTCCTGGGTGTTATTCTCCCATTTTGTTACTTTATGTTCCCCAGATGAATGCAATCTTTCTATGTCTATTCCTCTCTTTCTGACTCATTTCGCTTAGCATGATACTTTCCATGTACTACCACTTGTATGTCAATTTCATGACTTCCTCTTTTCTAACAGCTACATAGTACTTCATTGTGTAGATGTACCAAAGTTTCTTTAACCAGTCATCTGTTCTTGGGCATTCAGGTTTCTTCCAGTTTCTGGCTATTGTAAAGAGTGCTGCAATGAACAGACAATTGCAGATGTCACTTCGACTATACTTTTTTGCCTCTCTGGGATATATTCCCAGGAGTGGTATTGCTGGGTCAAATGGGAGTTCAAATTCTAATTTTTTGAGAATCGTCCATACTGTTTTCCAAAAGGGCTGAATCAGTCGGCATTCCCACCAGCAGTGAAGGAGGGTCCCTTTCTCGCCACATCCATGCCAGCATCAGTTGCTTTTGTTCTTTTGGATGTGGGCCAGTCTCTGAGGTGTGAGATGGTATCTCATTGTGGTTTTGATCTGCATCTCCCTGATGATTAATGATGTAGAGCATTTTCTCATGTGCCTTTTAGCCATTCGTATTTCTTCTTTGAGAAAGTTTCTGTTCATTTCATTGCCCCATTTTTGGATGGGGTTGGGTGTTTTCTTCTTGTGGAGTTCAACCAGTACTTTGTATATCCTTGATATCAACCCCTTGTCAGATGTGTATTCGGCGAATATCCTTTCCCATTCTGTAGACTGTCTTTGTACTTTGGTCACTGCTTCTTTTGAGGTGCAGAAGTAAAGCATTATTTTTTTAAAAAAGAAGCTTAGGTTCAGTCTCCAGCACTGCATGGTCCCCTGAGCTGACCTTCAAATACCGAGCTGGGAGGTGTCCTTCTATGTCTATATAAGCATAAGTGGTGAGTGCCCACCCCCACCACACAGAGAGGAAGTTAGTGTCTAGAATACATAAAAAGCTTAATTTTTTTCACTCTATAAGGAAAAAATAGGCAAAAACAGAAAAGCAAATCACACATACAAAAGGTATAAAAGTCCAGGATTCAGTAATACCCAACCTTACTATGACAGGTGCAAAATAAAATAATAAAGTTTATTTTTCTAAGTGCTATTTTTCATCTCCAGGCAGATATAAAGGGGGTGGGAGAGGCCAGAGTGATCAGTGGGGAGGTCGTTGACTTTGCATGCAGCCAGCCGGACCAGATCCCCAGGAGTAAGCCCTGAGCATCGCCAGATATGGCCCCAAAACAAACAAAAAAGATTGTTGGGAATGTGGCCCAGAGATGGAGTGTCAAGTTTGGCCCCATGCCGGAAAAAAACAACACCAGAGAGTAGATTGGTAGCTCTGACTTCTTACTGCATACACTTCTATATGCTTACTTTGTTTTTTTTTTTTTTTCATCAAGCATGTATAAACTGTCATTTTTTAGTTTGAGGGCCACATTCAGCGTCGCTTGCATGTGTTCAGAGAGAGACAGAGAGCAGGACTCTTTCTTTAGAGACTTTCTGAAGCAAAGCAGCATGGAGTGACGGAGAAGGCCCGTGGGTCCTCTCACTGGCACCACGAGAAGAAAAAGAAATCCAGGGAGTAGATAGGCCTGCCTTCGAGTCACAAACACCACGTGTTAATTTTCTAAACTTGAATAAGCTTCATCTTTCTGAGCCTATTTCCCCACCTGTAAACTGGAGCTAATAGCACCTACGAAGTGCTTAGCATGTTACGAGTTAGTTGAGACCAGACTAATACTGATTTCTAGCTGCAGCTTTTAGGAATCTCACCGGGTTGGCTGCGTGCAAGGCAAAGGACCTCCCCACCATACTGTCATTCCGGCCCCTCCCAGCCATCTTTATATACACCTGGTGATAAAAAATAAACTTTATTATTTTATTCTGTACCTGTCTTACTAAGGCTGGCCTCATTTAGCTTCCGAGGTTAGGTCATTCCTGTGTCTTCGTTAAATAAGCTCCTGTATTCCAAAGCGCTTCAGAATAGGCTGGTACCCTATATCCCAGGATGCACTTTGTCCTGGATGAGCTGTCCTTTTCGTTTGTTGTTTGGGTTTGGATGCTGGTGAGCAAATCCTGTACCTCTTTCACATAAAGCAAAGCTCTATATTGCATCCCCCGCCAGTTTATACTGAAAGCTCATCAGATCAAGCCTGCAGTTCTCAGCACCTTGGGGCCTAGACATGTGTGCAGCCTCTCCGTGTGCCAGTTGAGGGGGTCCCTCCTGCCCTGGCCTTTTTGCTGGTTAGACTTTGAAGGTTAACCCAGTGTTGAAGATGGAGTGATATTCAAACAGTGTCTAATCAGACTTATCTAGATCTTAGCTGCATGGAGACTTACCTCTCTGTCTGTTTTGTTTTGTTTTGTTTCGTTTTGTTTTGTTTTGTTGCTTTTTGGGTCACACCCAGCACTGCTCAGGGGTTACTCCTGGCTTTTCACTCAGGAATTACTCCTGGTGGTGCTTGGGGGACCGTATGGGATACCGGGGATCGAACCCGAGTCGGCTGCATGCAAGGCATGCAAGGCAAACACCCTACCCGCTGTGCTGTGCTATCGCTCCGGCCCCTCTCTGTCTCCTTTGGAATTCATTATTTTTCCAGCTTTCCAAGGAAAGATTTGCAACATGTTGCTTGCTGCAGGCAGATGAATAGAGAGTTGCTTTGCCTCTTTTTTGTCACAGCTGTCCCCAATCTCTCCATGCTGGAAACAGTGGATTCCATGAAGTTGGCTGACAAAGTGAACAGTTCATGGCAGAAGAAAGGTTCTCCTGAAAGACTCAAAGTTATGGTCCAGATCAACACCAGTGGCGAGGAGAGTAAGTGACCGAGGCAAAATGGTATCTCTCTCATCCCTGGAAGGGTCTGGAACTCAGAAAGAGTAGCAGAGTCCAAGTTTCCAAGAGCTAAGTGGATAGGAGGGTTGAATATATATCTGAGAGCTAAGTGGATAGTAGAGCCGAATATCCAAGAGCTGAGGTGATAGTAGGCCCGAGTATCTGGGAGCCGAGGTGAATAGTAGGGCCAAGTACCCGAGAGCTGAGGTGGATAGTAGGGCTGAGTACCCGAGAGCTGAGGTGGATAGTAGGGCTGAGTACCCGAGAGCTGAGGTGGATAGTAGGGCTGAGTACCCAAGAGCTGAGGTAGTAGTAGGACCAAATACCTAAGTGGATAATAGGGCTGAGTATTCAAGAACTAAGTGGATAGTAGGGCCAAGTACCCGAGAGCTAAGTGGATAGTAGGGCCAAGCACCCCAGAGCTGAGCTGATAGTAGGGCCAAGTATCCGAGACCTAAATGGATACTAGAGCCAAGCACCCGAGAGCTAAGTGGATAAGAGGGCCGAGTACCCGAGAGCTGAGGTGATAGCAACCCGGCCTTAAAGTGAGTTCTCTGTGTCCTCTTGCAGTGGCATAGTGACATCCAACCAGTTCCTTTGTTCCAGGGTGTTTAGGAGGAGGAGAGTAGAGGGGAACTGTGACTCCCCTCTCCAGAAATCCTTGAAAGAAAATCCTGCATACTGAAAGATGCGTATGTCACAGTGATTTTTCCACCTTTTTTTTCTCTGCGGGCCTGCAGAGCCCACAGAGCAGCAGCCGGAAGCCAGTGCTACGTCATGCTTCTTAGGTCTCTCATGGTACTGTATTGTATCGTGGCTCGGGGCCACACCCAGCAGTGCTGAGTTACGCCTGGCTCTGCCCTTGACCCAGGCGTTGCTCCTCGCGGTGCTCAGGGACCATCTGCTTTGCTGAGAATTGAACCCTGCCAGAAGGGCTGGAGCGATAGCACAGCGGTAGGGCGTTTGCCTTGCACGCAGCCAACATGACAAACCCGAGTTCGATTCCTCCGCCCCTCTCGGAGAGCCCGGCAAGCTACCGAGAGTATCTCGTCCGCAGGGCAGAGCCTGACAAGCTCCCCGTGATGTATTCGATATGCCAAACACAGTAACAACAAAGTCTCCAATGGAGACGTTACTGGGCCCGCTTGAGCAAATCGATGAACAACGGGAGGACAGTGACAGTGACAGTGAACCCTGCCAAGCCTGTGCTCAGCCGTGGAGCCCTCCCTCCTAGACCAGATCTTCGCTCCCAAATAGCCTTAGTCAGCCCCACACAGGGGACAGACTTAAGCTCTGTCATCAGTGCGTGTTGTCTTCAGGACCTGGGGTTAACTGGACCGGTCAGCACAAGCCTAGACTTGAGCGTGGGCGGCCCTTGCCCTGGAGCGCCATTGCCTTCCAGCTGTGTGCGGGTGGCCAGGTTTCTTGCCCTCTTTGTTTCTCTGGCAGGAATACACAACAATGCCTCCATTCAGAGGGCTTCTGGGGACTGAGTGTGACAATGCAGATAAAGCTGTTGACACAGAAGCCCTCCTGTCTTACTTGTTAGCTGTCTGGTGAATGAGTGTTTACTGGCCGGAGAAATCATCCGGGGTTAAGGCACTTAACCTCGCGTGCTGCCAACCTCAGTCCACAGCCCTGCATACGGTTGCATGGTTGGCCCTGCTGTTCACCTCAGCTCTCGGATACTCAGCCCTGCTGCTTGCCTGCTGAGCACAGAGCCAGGAATAGCCCTTCGGCAGTGCCAGGCGTGTCCACAGAGAAGAGTCAGTGTTTGCAACTGTCAGAACACCCGGATCCAGGAGTCTGAACATGAGGGACACAGTGAGGACATTTGTTCCACGTCCGCCCTGAGGGCAGGCTCATAGGGTTCATATCCAGTTCCAGAGTTCTTAGTTGTGTGATCTTAGAAAAGGTCCTGGACCGGGGCTGAAGCAATAGCACAGCAGGTAGGGCGTTTGCTTTGCACGCAGCCGACCCGGGTTCGATTCCCAGCATCCTATATGGTCCCCCAAGCACCGCCAGGAGTGATTCCGGAGTGCAAAGCTAGGAGTAACTCCTGAGCATTGCCAGGTGTGACCCAAAACAAAAAGAAAAGAAAAGAAAAGGTCCTAGAACCTCCATCTCAGGTTCCTCACCTTGGGAATAGAGGTAGTTAAATGCACCTGTGGAAGTTACTAAATAAAAAGCTCTCAGGAATTGGCACATAGCGTTCCGTACTTTTTAGCAGCTGTTCTGTTTGCATGCACCTAGATTGTAACTTTTACATTAGCTCTACAGGTAAATGGAAAATGGACTCCAGATCAAGTATCATTTCAGCTCCTTTAGCTATAGTGTGGCCCAGTGAAAGTTTAACGAATGTTCTCAGCATCTCCCTTTGATAAATGAGGGAAAGAGTATCAGTGGTTCTTATAACTGCCTCACCAATAATCATTTGTGTGATCATAACCTTTCCTCTCATTATTAATTAGAAACTCAACTAACTTGTTCCAGTAGTGATATTGTTTAATAGAGACTTCAGATTGTTTTACCAATTTATGAGACTGTAACTATCGAAAAATCAGGTTTGAAAAAGTCATTTTCAGGTTCAGTTGGTGTTTTGGCAGTGTAAGTCTTATTCCTATCCCAAGGAAAGCTGTGTGTGTTCTCTCCCTTCTGTTCCCTCAGCTTAGATACCGAAAAGATCCCATTTTAGCTCTTTTTTTTTTAATTCAGTTTTCGCTCTTAAACCTGAAAAAATTTGGAGCCTGACCCGAAGGGTAGCAACCTAAGAAAAGATCACAGTTATAAAATTATTCTTTGGGACCTGAGTACAAGTTCTTTCAGAAAGTCCCAACAGAAGGCCAACGGTATGAATTAGCCAGTTAGTGGTAAGAAGCACTAAAATAAATTATTTTGGGCCTGCTACAGGGGCAGGCTCGAGGGTTGGCTGGGAAAATGGGGACAGCGGTGGAGGGAAGGTGACAGCAGCGATGAGACAGGGTTGGAATATTGAAGGTCTGTAACAAAAGCGTCATAAGCAATTCTGTAAGCCACGGTATTTAAGTAAACTGGGAGAGAAACCCGAGTATGAGAGCTGCTCTGTTCGAAGGCAGCCGGGAGGAAAATAGAGCCCTCCTACAGCGCTTAGATCACTTTGAGAGCAGTAATTTGCCTTTTTTTGCAAAGGTAAACACGGCCTTCTGCCCTCGGAGATGGTCGCTGTGGTAGAACACATCAACGCCAAGTGCCCCAGCCTGGAGTTTGTGGGACTGATGACCATCGGCAGTTTTGGGCATGACCTCAGCCGAGGACCAAATCCTGACTTCCAGGTACAGGGGGCCCGGGTTGCGGGGGGCGGTCCTGGCGCCCCAGCTGCAGCAGGTCACACTGAAATGCAGTTGCAGGACGGGCAACAAATGCCAGGGGAAGCCCAGATAGACCTTCGGGTGCCACCCAACAGCCGCTTCTCTTTTCATAAGAAAATCTCCCAGCGGCCTTTCCGACTGGTGCACACCCAGCCTGCGCGTGGTCTGGGCAGGACTCTCGCCCCTTCTTCCTCTCCGACGATTGGTGCTTCTCAGGAAAGGGCGAGAGTCCACCAAAGCTCCCTGAAGTAGCTTCCCTGCCCGTCCTGGCAGGTCTTAACTCCTGTGGTCAGGGCGTTGCCATTCGGCCCCTTGTAGGCGCTCTCCCGGGAGGGAGGCGGCCAACCTGACCCTGTCCCCCCACAGGTGCTGCTGTCGCTCCGCCAGGAGCTGTGTCATAAGATGAGTATCCCTGCCGACCAGGTCGAGCTGAGCATGGGCATGTCGGGGGACTTCCAACATGCGGTGAGTGTCCTCGGCCCACCTCCTCTCTGCCGCAGGGCCAAGGTCCATGGGCTAGTGGGTCAGCGGATGTCACATATATGCGAAGCCCTGGGTTACATGCCCAGCACCGCGAGGTATGGCCCAGCCCAGGGACCACCACGAGTCACCTCCACACCGGTTTTTTTTTAATTGCCTTTTGGTTTGGGGGGAGTCACTTCCAGCAGTGTTCAGGGGTTACTCCTGGCTCTGCATTCAGAAATTACTCCTGGTGGTGTTCAGGGGACTACATGGGATGTTGAGGATCACTCCTGAGCGTCACCAGGCATGGCCCAAAACCAAAATGCCTCTGTGAATTAGGTACCTAAGAGCAGTGACTCAGCTTCTCTAATAGCCTCCTTTGCTATCCTTGCAAAGGGAAGTGTATAGAAATCATACAGCATGACCCATTTCATGTCGTGATACGTTCTTTTAAACCCAGTATAATTCTCTAGTCGTATGTTAAGGAAAATAAGAAATTGATCGTTTGTTGTACTACAAATGATAAATTTAACAAGTCATCTATATAAATCTGTAGGCCTGGATTGATGACAGTTAAGTGGTCATGCCGTAACCTCAGGTTTAATTTTTATCTGTTTGTTTTGGATCCACACCTTGGGGTACTCATGGCTTAACTCCTAGTAGCCCTGAGCACTCAGGGATCACTTCTAGCAGGGCTTGGGGGGCCACACTGAGTGCCGAGGATTGAACCCGGGTCAGCTGCGTATGGGGCAAGCACCCAATCCACTGTACTACTGCTCCAACTTTGTTGTTAAAAATAATGTGTCTCGGGGCTAGAGCAATAGCACAGTGTGTAGGGCGTTTGCCTTGCACGCGGCCGACCCCGGTTCGATTCCCAGCATCCCATATGGTCCCCCGAGCACCGCCAGGAGTAATTCCTGAGTGCATGAACCAGGAGTAACTCCTGTTTATTGCCGGCTGTGACCCAAAAAGCAAAAATAATAATAATAATAATAATGTGTGTTGACAAGTACAGTGGAATTAAGTCCTGCTCAGAGAGTTAAAAGAGGCTCTTTTTTCCATATGGCCTCTGCATGTATGTGGGCATCTGCTGGCCTGTGTGTCCAGCATCTCTGGCTCTACCGAACTCAGTGCTGCTCAGATTCCCACCCCCGGGAGAGCCAAAGAAATCCTTCCTCCTCCTGAAAATGCTCATGAAGCTGGTCGAGTTACCCGAGAAAGCGTGATCCAGGGGCATCGTCAGCCCGGGCTACATTTCATTCCCCCCTTGAACCTCCTTTCCCACAGATTGAAGTTGGATCTACGAATGTTCGAATCGGCAGCACCATTTTTGGAGAGCGCGATTACACCAAGAAAGCCCAGGACAAGTCTGCAGCGGACCTGCAGGCTCCGGTCGAGGTGGCGCAAGCCCACTGAGGCCCCGGCTGCCGCCCTGCCAGGAAGGCCAACTATGCATCACCCGGTGTCCGTTTCAATGTCCCCCATGCGCCAGCACAACCACGCTTCCTGGGCGCGGGGCTGGAGATCAGACCGGTGATGTGCGTTGGCAGAAACCCTCTGTTCACAGTGTCTGACATCAGAAATTCACACCAGGCAGTAATATTGGTTGGGATCTGAGAAGCTCAGGCATTTCAGCACAACAGATACCAAGTCAGTAGCCAGTCATTGAGTTCAGGATTGAGTGCTGCCCAGGAGTACCGGCCAGCCAGCCGGCCGAGGAACTCCCTAATGCCTGTCTACGATCACCCAGATCAGAGGAATCACATTGGCCATCTACTTTAATAAAAATTTACTCATGTTTACCAGCTGCATACAAGCCCCTACCAGATTATCATCTCTGCTGCCCTAGAGCAAGGTGTTTCTGTTAACACCACACACACATACACACACACACATACATACACACACACATAAACATACATGCATACACACATAACATACATACACACGCATACACAAACATGCATACACACATACATGCACACACACACACACACACACACACACACACTATCTGTCTTTGCACTGGCACAGCAGCACTGGTCACTTTCACCTTGATGAGCCAAACCCAAGTTGTTGCTGACCAGAGTTTGTGGCATTGGCCACCCTGTAGCAGTGACCTTGCAGACCCCTGGAGTGACGGTAATAGGACTCGGCCTTCTTAACGTCCTCCTAAAGAGACAGACTTTGAGCTCCTTCCCCTGGGCCCTGCAGTGGTAAGTGAATAAGGAGGTTGTCTTCCACCAGAAGACCTGTCAGTGAACATCCCAGGATTAGAAGGTTCCTTCCCAGTCACTTTACATGCTGTTTCGACCAGGTCTGGCCTGGGGGGGTCCCCATCCATTGCCCCCCCTCTCCCCCCACCACCACCCCACTCTGTAACCAGCATTCTGCAGCTGCTTCAATGGGTCTCAAGGAGTCGCAAGCTCTGCAGTCAGAAAGCACAATTCTGTGGTGGCAGTGACCGCTGCCTGGATCCCTATTTATTTTCTGCTGGCTTTATTTATTCAAGCCCCCATCGTTAATTATACGAAATAACTTTCAGAACATAACGCTTCTGCTGAATGTAATTTTGTAAGATTTAAAACCATTATGATTCTTGTACTGTTCCAATCAGAGCTAGAGTGTGATTATTTCAGAGACTATTAAATAAAAAATGTGAGTTTGAATTATACCATCTGTGCCAATTACGAAGCAATTAAAGGATTTATTTTTTATGATCTGGTGTAGTGAATCTAACGTGAGGGGGAATGGGAACCAAACAGGAAGCAGCTGTGCCCATCACTTGGCATGGTGCCAGCCGCTGGGAGCAGGACTTCCCTTGGCTTACTGAGGTAGCCACAGCTCCATGAGAGCGATTCTGAGCTCCTCGGGACAGGAAATAAAATGGGGACGGACATACTTCCTGTGGCAAGAAGGGCGTTTGCCTCGCCACAGCCAACCTGGGTTCAATCCCCAGCATCTCATATGGAGCCCTGAGCCTACCAGGAGTAGTTCCTGAGTGCAGAGCCTGGAATAACCCCCGAGCATCGCGGGGAGTGCCCCCCCCCCACCACCAACCCCCAACTTGAAAATAAGAAGAAATTCTAATTAACTGCCTCTAGATGGCAACGTTGGACAACCTGAGGGGTCCGGCATTGGGGTTCTGTCAGCGAATGGAAGGGACACAGATTCACCCTTTGGAGAGCAGGACAGTGTGAGGGGGGGGAGGGGACCTGGCTTCGCAAGCAACTGATTCTTGCAGAACCTTTAGATTCTTTCTGCTCCTCCACGCCTCCCCTTAGCTGGCTAGGACCCTGAGCCTGCCTGAATTTGGAAGCCGTTTCCTGCCTGCGTCTGGAGTCCAGGACGGCAGGAGGAGGAGGCCGGTCTCCCAGGGAGGCTGACCAGAACCAGTTAAAATGAGCTAGAGAGAGCTCAGGGGTTTCGGCACTCGCCTTGCACGTAGCCAACCCTGGCTCAGTTCCCAGCACCACACACACAACACCCGGAACACCCCAGAACAACCCCCGGCACCGCTGATTGTAGCCTGAAAACCAAAAGCATCAAAAGAAAGGGGGGGGGGGGGCGGCGGGGAATCAAGTATGATGAGGACCCACATAAGCCAGCGTGCCCACGGAGAGCAAAGTGAGCAGAGTTGTGGCCGTATTTTTGTTGTCTTTGTGCCCCCCTGCTCCCCTGACTGTGCTCTGCACTCAGATCACTGCTGGCAGGTTCAAAGAACTACCTGGGCTATTGGGGGTCGACCTTGGCTCAAACGCATGCAAGGCAAGCGCCCTGCCTGCCTGCCTGCCTGCCATGTTCTCTCTGCCCCTCTCTCCGTGGTTGTGCTGTTTCTGGACGTCACGGGCGGCCGACCTGAGGGCTTCCAGGTGCTCACCAGAGCGGGTACACCACGACTCTTGGGCAGCAGCATCACATCGTCCCAGCTTCCAGCCTTCCCAGCCTAGAGCCTCGACAGGCCTGTGTGCCTCCACAGCTTGGCACACTCAGGCTCCCAGGAGCCCCCCCCCCCCCCCGAGGTCTTCCCCAGGGCGTTATCTCTTAGCGTCACCTCCAGCAGGGGACCTATAATACAGTGGGTCAGCACTTGTGCCTTCACGCAGCCAACCTGGGTTCGATCTAGGTAACCACACACAGGAGGAGGGGACCCCCGAGCACAGAGCCAGGAGTAAGCCCTGAGCAGCGCTGGATGTGGCTAAAAAAAAAAAAATCTCAGTGCAGAGACTGTCTCGTGTTGTTCTGCGATGCCATCTGGGAAACTCATTATCAGGGTAGCCCATAGTATGCAGTCAGAGCATAAACTTACCAAGCAAATGGCATCACCTACTGCATTCCCGGTATGGGGGATGACCATCATCGACATAGGTGGCTGGTGACCTTGCTACGTAGCACGTGACTAAGAGTTGAGCCACCCTCCTGCCTCCCCATCCCCTCACCTGGGTCTATGTAAACTCTGGCCATACTCTCGTGAAGGGGTCACTGAGTCCAAGCAAAGGTCCAGGGCTCATATGACATCAGAGACAGACGATGGCGGGGCAAGAAAAGACACTCAGGTGTTTGATTTCTAGGGGGCCCCTGGGGTCTCCCGTCGTCGGGAGCTGTAACGGCTGGTGAGCAGCACGCGTTTGGGTTGACCTTAGCTTCAGAGATGCCAGTTCCAAGGAGCTGGGCCAGGAATGTCTTGTTTTTACTTGAGCATGTATGCTTATAGTCTGTTGTATTTAGTCTATTGAGAAGTGACACTTTTTATTTTGGGGCCCACACCCAGAGGGAGTGGGGCTCCTGGCTCTGTGCTCAGGGACCACTCCTGGTGAGGCCCAGGGGACTGTGCGGAGCCAGGGGTCACTCCGAGCTTCCTGCGTGTGAAACAGACATTCCCTCAGCCCTCTGAGATTCCTCACCCAAACTGACAGATCCCGGTGCGAAAAGAAAATTAAAATAAAACCACAAAAAAACAAACTTTGGGCTGGAGAGGTAGCACAGCGGGTAGGGCGTTTGCCTTGCACGCGGCCGACCCGGGTTCAATTCCCAGCATCCCATATGGTCCCCTGAGTGCAGAGCCAGGAGTAATCCCTGTGCATCGCCGGGTGTGACCCAATAAATAAATAAATAAAATTTAAAAAAAAACTTTGAAGCCTCACGGAATGGTGGTTGAGAGAATTCAACCTGAACCCATTCACGAGTGGAGCTGACCCTTGCCTTCTTGTCCGTGTCCCTCACACGCATGTCTCTCCCATCTCCAAGCCTTCCCACAGACTGAAGAATTCAGCGTGAGGGTCTTCACCCCAAGAGCGACGCTAGTGATGAATTCTCATCCCTATGGAACGGGGACGAGACTATAAAACCCAGCTTCCAGAAGCGCGCAGCCACAAATGCAGCCATGCGACATCTTATCATCTTATTCCTACTTTGGACAAACTGGCAGGCTACCGAATGTAACCTGCCCACACGGCAGAGTCTGGCAAACTCCCCGTGGCGTACCCAATATGCCAAATACCAGTAACGATGGGTCTCATTCTCCTAACTCTGAAAGAGTTTGAATATGGCACTTTTTAAAAAAATCTTAGGGCTAGGATGAAGGAGACGTTACTGGGGCCTGCTCGAGGCAATCGACGAACAACAGGATGGTTGTGATTTGATTTGTGATGGAATGAGGAGGAATGAAGTTGAGCAGGGAAGGCGTCCTTAAAATCCCGACAGCTTTGTCCTCAGAACAGAAGTTGCCCTGCTTGTCCCACCTGTAAGCTGAGGAGGAGGAGGAATGCCTCAACTGTCGTTCCTGAAGCTTCGATCATGCGGCAGGAAGTGACCAGTTTGGGAACTCCGTCTGGCTTGTCACATCAGCATGAGACTTAAAGGCACAAGACTCCCAGCCATTAGGCCAGAGAATGCTCAAGGACTGAGGTCCACTTTGCATGCAGGAGCCTGGTCTCATCCCTGGCACCCAGGGACCCCTGAGCACTGTGAGAGTGACCTCTGAACACAGCTGGGAGTGCCTTCAAAACCCAGAAGGAAAAAGAAAAGGTTTCCAGCCAGAGAGTTTGGCCTCTCTCCTCCCCTCAGGTAAAGCAAAAGGCTCTCTAACGGTCTGATAGTGGAGAAGATGAGAGATCGTTTCTATGGCTCATGACCAGAGACCCGTTCCCCAGGGGGAGCAGAGCCTCCCCTCCTGATGTGAAGCCGGTTCTAGGGGTTGCTTTGGCAACTGCCTTTTCCCAATGAAGAACCATCATTCTTCTCTGCCCTTGGGAGAGGAAGAGGGAGAGGATGCAGATTGAGTGGTTTCTTGAGAGAGAAAAAAAATCCCAAGAAAAAGCAAAGAAATGGGCTTCATTACCAGAGGCGGCCACTGCAGCTATGGGATGTGTGGTCAGCATAGCCGTGGACAAGGGAGAGGGCTCTGAGCTCATGTTCCTTCCCAGGGACACTTGGAGCAAGCACCTTCTCTCCTGCAAACTCTGGTACAGATGAGGTGAAAAACTATGTAGAGACAGGGTCAGAGGCAACACTTTGGGCACTTTTGGTCACTTTTCTTGAATTTAAAATAAACTTGGGGGCTGGAGTGATAGCACAGCAGGTAGGGCGTTTGCCTTGCACATGGCCGACCCGGATTCGATTCCCAGCATCCCATATGGTCCCCTGAGCACTGCCAGGAGAAACTCCTGAGTGCAGAGCCAGGATTAACCCCTGTGCATCGCCAGGTGTGACCCAAAAAGCAAATTAATTAATTAATTAATTAAATTTTACCAGGCCTGCAGTACAGCAGGTAGAGCACTTACCTTCCATGCTGCCAGCCTCGGTATGATTCCCACCCTCGTATATATCGTCCCCTGAGAGCACAGGAGCACTGCCTTTGTGGCTCCCTCCCCCTCCCCAAATAAAATTGATTTTACAGCAGCATAGAGATA